CAAAGTCCAGAAGTCCCAAAATGCCAAAGTCACGAATTTCGCAAGTGCCGAACCGAACTGAAGTGCAGAATTGCCGAAGTTCCAAATTGCCAAAGTCCCGAATTTTGGAAGTGCCGAACCAATTTTTTTGCCAATGCACATTTCTACTAAACACCAACCCTACACATAACCCCAATCCCTATCTGTGGGATGTGCAGCTGGGTCAACAAATCTGATCCGTGGAAGTCCCGCCTCACCAATTGCAGGACTTAAATGAAGTGCTGTAAATGTCTTAGTGCCAGATACCACAGGATTCCACAGGTTCAGAGGACATGTGGAGTCCATGCCTCAATGCATCACATTGGCACTTATGCACATGGTCGTGGTGATTGCATTTTGCACTTTTATGCAAATGATTGTGTGTTCACATTTAACACTTTATGTGCATTATATATTTTTGCACATGATTTATGTGTACAGCATTTTATATTGCATGTTATGTGCTTACATTGTTTGTACTTACCATATGCACCCTATTTGCAATCTATGTATATGGTTTATGTGATTATATTTAGCACTTTATGCATGTGGCCTTGGACTTACATTAAGCACTTTTATGTCCCATGATTACGATATACTATTAAGTATTGGGCATTTATTTGCACTAAAGAATTAACTGAATGGCAGGTGGTACACTTAATATTTCTTAGATTGGCGTGATGGGTTGTGTTCTGGATTATTATATTGTGGAACTATTGTATAGTGTTGATGTATTTTTAGGCTTGAAATTGATAATAATGTAGATGGATTGTATTCTTAAGTACAATATTATTGTATTAGGGAATTGTGGTATTAAGTATAGGCTGAAACCTTACACTGGAAGTAACAATTTTTAAATAGTATTTTATAAATTACTGCTACATTTCTATTCCGAGGTCATCTGTGCTTCATTGCCCTTGTATGTACATGGTACAGTGACAATACATTTAAATCTGATTCAGATCTCATCAGAAAGGATATCTAAACTGCAAACTCAACATTATTGTTAGCATTCATATAGAGCCAAAATATTCCACAGGACATTACAATTATAGAAAGTGGATATTTAGAGGTGAAAAAGGCTCTTAAAGTTATGGGCATTTACAGTGACAATAAACAAACACAAAACGACAAAATTACAAAAAAATATAAAAATGGTAAAGTTTCCGCAGGAAGATATAGTTAGATAAAAGTAGCAAGGCGTTATCTGCAAACAGGTCATGATCATGACAGTGTTTTCATTTGTATTGTCATGTAATATGTTTTGATTTGGAGATGCAAGCACCATCCATGGAAACCCACCTTGCTCTTCGGTTTCATATCGTTTAGCTATAGTGGGATAATGTGGCTGGTCTTACGTATTCTTTAATTTGAGATTGGCTGTACAATAGATGTGTATATACATTCTCCTTTGCCTATAAGCAAGAAGAGTTGTTTATCTGTGTTTGTGACATGAACCATATGTACTAAGTTCTGGTAAAAACAAAATTATTTATAACTTATATTTATAATTCTATAAGGTTTGGATTTGACTATTACCAGAGCTTTCAAGCCATGATATTTGCTGTGGAGAAAATCAATGCAAACTCAGATCTTCTTCCCAACATCACTTTGGGCTTCAAGATTTTTGACACTTGTGCCGCCATGAGACGGGCAGTAGAAGGGACATTCTGGATGTTATCAGGAGGAAGTAAAAGCATTCCCAGTTACCAATGGCAAGAGAAAACACACCTTGCTGGTATCATTGGTGACTCTGGATCAGTGCGTTCTATTCTAATGGCTCAGATATTGGGAATTTACAGATATCCACAGGTAGGAAAACAATAAAATCAACCTTTCTAGAAACACAAAACTGAGCAAGTCTCCTCATCCTTATTTTAAGATTATTGTCAGAGAAATGTGTTTTATTTTTTTTTTTGTAAATCTTTTTTATTATATGACAGGATGAAATTACATAGTTGCGTGATTACAATATTTTAGACATTGTACAGTACACCAAAAGTTACAGATCGGAAGCGGAAATCCTGTACAGTTTTTTGAACAGTGAAATTTTTGTTTCCCTTTTCCCCCCCACTCTGTTCTCCCTCCTCCCCCCTCCCTTCCAGTTTACTTTATTACTTTGCTTTGTTTTGTTTTGCGTTAGTGTGTGTATGTGTCCCAAAGCTTGGTTTTGTGAGTTACGTAGGGTAGCTAAGTATAACTTTGAGACTCGCAGGTCTCTGCATTCCATATGTATACGGATCTACAGCATGCTGTGTGTGTAGATTGAGAGGGGATCTAAATGCTAGATGATAAGGCAGTTCGTGTGGGACAAGTTTTTTGTCCAAGTTCGTCATGTTAGGTATGGATGTGTTGGCGAACATCGGGCCGTGTTTATCACTTGTATGTAGTTTAGCTGGGTCTCCCCGCTGGTCCGTTTTGTGAGCGCAGTGGTTAGGTGTTATGTGTTGATTAGTGGTTTGTGTGATATGTGTCCCTGTCTCTGTTACGTTATCTTATATGGCTATGGGTGTTGTCATCACTCCTTGCAGCAGAGCCTACAGTTCGCGTGATTTCCCGTACGTGATTCCTTAGTTGCGTCAGTAATGTGTGTATCAGTGACCTCGTAATATGCGTTTGGAGTGGGTTTAAGAGGTTGAGTGCCTTTTGCGTTATATGAGCGTTAGCTCTTCTCTCTACACTTTTCCGTGCTGGAATGTGTAACAAGGCATGGTATGACTCGTGGTTCCCAAGGGGGTCCGAACATTTCTCAGATCCCGTCAGGGCTGGGTGTTCATCTTTTTAGTATTTCAGAGGTCAGTGGTGCTTTTGTGTGGTGATGTATCTCTCCGATCCCGCCCCCGTCTCCCCGGGCCCGGGGTCCGCCCAATGAAAGAGAAAGAGAAAAGAAGAAGAAGAAGGAAAAAAAAAAATGGGGGGGTGAGGAAGTGTGGCTTACAGGTGGGGTGGGTTGTTTCTGGTGGGATCCGCATCTGCTGTTGCCCCGTCGGTTCGGGGGCGTCGCCCGCTTGTCTGTAGCGGGTGATGTATAGAAACCATGGGAGCCACAGTTCTGTATGTTTTGTTGCACGACCCGTCAGGGAGGCGTGTATTTCTTCTGCTCCGTGGATGTCTTCTACTCTGCGGATCCATTCCTTCTTAGTTGGTACATCGCTTTTCTTCCAGTGTGCCAGTATGTTAGCTTTGGCCACGTTTAGTAAGTGACGCAATATTGATCTTTTATACGTCCGGATCAATTGTGTTGTTATGTGTAGTAGGGCTAGTTCCGCGCTCCATTCCGGGATATCCCCCAGAATGTCGGTCACAGTGTTCTTAATCATTGCCCAGTATGGGGTAATGTCTCTGCATTCCCACCATATATGTATCAATGTGCCGCGTTCTGCCTGGCATCTCCAACAAGTCGGGGTGGTTGATGGGAAAATCTGGTGTAGGAGGGACGGCGTTCTGTACCAGAGGGAGAGCAGTTTGTAGTTTACCTCTTGGTAGTATGAGCTCATAGAGCTTTTTTGCTGCCACAGTAGCGCTGAGTCCCATTGTGAGGGTGTGAGCGCCTCTCCAAGTTGTCCTTCCCATTGGCGACGGAAGGTGGAAGCCTGGGTTGTGTTTCCGATAATTAGGTGTTGGTAGAGTGCTGATATGGCATGGTCTAGTGCGGTGCCACTGTCACAGAGGCCCTCAAACCAGGTGAGGTCTCTGTGCAAGCGATCTTTATGTGGCATTGTGTCATGGTAGTGTTTTAATTGTAGATATCTAAGCACCGTGAGGGGGGTCCTTGGTTAGTCACCTAATAATGCGGTTAGGTCCCGGACTCTGCCACCTCCGAGGGCTTTGTGTATGGGGATGTAATCCCTCTCACTCGAGATGGGCCATGCACCGGGTGGGAGTCCACCTCCCAAGGCCTCGTTATGAGTGAGTGGGATCATCGGGCTAGGGGTGGGCGATATATAGCTCTGATCTCTCAGCGATCTCCAACCGGTGATTGTTTGCAGTATCAGCCCCTCATTGTTTTGGGCCGCCGGGCCTCTCGTCGTCCCCCATATCCTCATTTCCAGTGTTGGTCCGATTAGGCCATTGTTTCGTTATAGGTTCCTGGTGCAAGTCTAGTATCCGTTGCATTACCGTGGCTTGGTGATATTTCTTGATGTCTGGTAGAGCTAGTCCACCATGGTTCCTTGGTCGGCAGAGTATATCATGTCGAATTCGGGAGCGTTCCCCTCACCACACAAATTTAATTATCGCCATTTTCAGGGCGGAGAAGAAGGTCCCTGGGATGGCTAGTGGGATTGTTTGCATGAGGTATAGGATTCTCTGCAGTATGTTCATCTTGAGGATCGCAACTCTTCCATGCCAGGTTACATGTGGGTACGACCATCTAGTCAGGTCCGCTAAAATTGTTTTCAGGAGAGGCACGAAGTTGAGTCGGTATATGTCTTCTGGGTCTGTGGTCACCCAGATGCCCAGATACTTCATCCGTCCATAGCACCAATGGAAAGCGAATTGCGAATCCAGGGATATGTATTCTTCCGTGGGGATCGTGATGTTCAGGACCTCACATCTTGAGAGATTAAGTTTGAAGCCCGAGATCTTCACAAATTTGTCGAATTCGGAGAGGAGGCACGGCAGAGTTGTTCTAGGGTTCTGTACAAAGAATAAGAGGTCATCTGCATATGCAGCCACTTTATGGTTTGTTCCTCGCCAGCTGTATCCTTGAATGTTTGGGTTTAGGCGTATCTTCTGGAGCAGTGGTTCCAGGGTCATAGCGAACAGGAGTGGTGATAGTGGGCAGCCTTGTTGGGTACCATTGCTGATTGTAAAGTCTGCTGTCGTGGCCCCGTTGACTCTCACGTTTGCGTGTGGTTTGCTGTAGAAAGCTAATACCCATGCGAGTAGTCTCTCCCCGCATCCCATGTGTTTTAGGGTGGTCATCATGTACGACCAGTCAACCCTGTCAAATGCTTTTTCCGCATCTGTAGATAATAGTAGCATTTTAGTCTTTGTCTTCCTTGCGTGTTGTTGGATTGAAAATAGTCGTAATGTGCTATCTCTGGCCTCTCTGCCCGGGATGAAGCCTGTCTGGTCCGCGTGTATCAATTCTGGAAGGGAGTTGTTGAGCCTGCTCGCTATAACTTTCGTGATTAATTTGGCGTCTACATTAAGCAACGATATGGGACGATAGCTACCGCAAAGCAATGGATCCTTTCCTGGCTTGAGCAAGACCGTGATGGTCGTGGCCAAGGATTCCGCGCCCAGGTTTCCTCCGTCTCCCACAGCGTTGATCGCTTTAGTCAGCCATGGTATCAGGAGGCCAGAGAAGCTCTTATAGTATCCAGTCGAGAAACCATCTGGTCCCGGTGCCTTGCCTGGTTTGGACACTTTCAGTGCCACTGCAAGCTCCTCTGTGCTGATTGGCGTGTCGAGTGCCGAAGCTGATGCTTGGCTAATCGTTTTGGCGATCGTGTCAGATAAGTAGTCTCTTATCTGAGTGGTTCTTCTTTCATCACTCGTTGTCCTCGTGGGTGGGCGTAGATTGTAAAGGGTTTGGTAGTAGGTCCTAAACTCATCAGCGATTTTTTTTTTTTTGTGGGTAGGGGGTCACTTCTCCCGAGGAGAGGCGGAGTTTGCGTATTTGTCTACCGGGCGTAGGGTCTTTTAATAATCTAGCCAGGTATTTCCCCCCTTTATTGGCGTGTGCGTAGTAAAAACCTTTTGTGCCTTGTAGATTACGGAGATGCTTTTTTGTGATGAGTTCTTTAAGTGCCCTTCTGTGTTCCATCAATTCCCCGTATATTTCGTGTAGTTGGGATCTTTTGTGCTGATTTTCCAGCGTCGATATCTTTCGGTATAGGTTGGTCATCTCGATCATATTCGCTTTCCGTTTTTGCGAGGCAATGCGGATGAGTGCTCCGCGAACTACGCTCTTATGTGCCTCCCATACGGTTATCGGGGAGACCTCTGGTGTGTCATTGTCTATGAAGTAGTGTTCTAGCTCTCTGGTTATTTGTTCTCTGGTGGCTGGATCAAGTAGGAGAGCCTCGTTAAGTCTCCACGTCCATGTCGCTGGGCGGAACATGGGGGACTCCATTTCTAATCTGACAGAGCCATGGTCCAACCACGTAGACGGGTCGATGTCCGCATTGAGTAAGCGAACGAGTCCCTCCTGCGTGATGAAGAGGTAGTCTATGCGAGAGTAGCGGTTGTGTTCTCCAGCCATCCACCAGTCTCAGGTCTTCCAGCGATTTTCGGATCAGCCGGATGCTGCTTTGTGGAATACTGCTATGTCCCAATGATGAGTCTAATATTGGGTCCAAGGGTACGTTAAAGTCCCCCCCTACGATTAGTATTCCATCCGTGAATTCCTCTAGTATGTGCAGCGTGTTTCGGAGGAAGGGTGCTTGTCTTCGGTTGGGAACGTAGATGTTAGCCAGGGTGTATATCCTGTCGGCTATGATCCCCTTTAAGAAGAGGTACCGTCCGTGTGAATCTTGTGCTCTCTCAAGTTCTTTGAATTCAAGCTCGGCTGCTAATATTATGGCTGTACCCGCTTTGTGTGACGTCGAATGATTAGAGAAATAGTTGTTCGGGTAGTGTTTATTTTGTAGCTTAGGTGCCACGCCTTCTTTGAAGTGGGTTTCCTGGATCATGGCCACTGCTATTTGCTTTTGTTTCAGCAGATGGGTTCTGCGTTCAGGGATGTTGAGGCCTCTGCAGTTCTGGGTGAGGATCCTCAGAGGTGTGTTTCGGTAGACCATTCTCGTGGTATAGACGGGGTGTTCCCTTAAGACCGAATTGTATGAGAAATGGAAAAGGGAGAAGAAGAAAAAAAAAAAAAAGTGGAGGGGGGGGGAGTGAAGGGGTAGTACGTTAGTTTTCAAAGACGGTATCCAAGCCCGGGGCACCGTGGATCGGGACCAGTCAAGACCTGTTGTGGTGATAGAAAGAAGTGTGCCCGGGTTGTGGTTTTAGTATATGGATTGGTTGAACCCGGGTTTAGTTCCCTTATGGGGAGACAAAAATTATAGATCTCGTGCTGCAGACAGCACTAGTGGGGCCTCGCCTCGGTACCCACCCGGGGGTCGAGAGCGCCTATAGCCTGTCTGCACTACTCTTAGCACGAGTAAGTGTGTTGGGAAACGCGAGTCAGGCTCCGCCCAAGGATGTAATCAACTCAAGAGTGGGATCGTCCACCCCACCGGACCCTCTTTGGATAGTGTCGTGCAAGTCCAATTCTCCTGCGGGGTGTGCCTTGTGGTTTCAATTATGTATCTCCATGGCCAAGGCAATGTCCCCGGCATCGTTGGTTTTAATATCCCCCCCTCGCCCCAGTGTCCCTTGCCTCGTCTATGTGCCCCCTGGGACGGTGAGCTCCCCCCCGTGCCCTAAGTGGTCTGGACCCTCTGCTTCCGGCTGCTGTGTGTTCCACTCTGTACCAATTACGATGTTAGTGGTAAAACTTAGGCCAAATATGTGTATTCAGCTATCGTTGGCCTTTCCTATCTGTCTTCGTGATGGTAGGTGACTACCATCTCCCCTGGGTGATTTCTGCCGGTGTCTCTCTAACTTAATGTCTGACCATTGAAGGGGGGGCACGTAGCGAGGGGGTGTATCCATGACCTATTTACATGGTGTGGTCAACAATAACATAGCATAACATAACAAGTTTCAACATTTCAACATTGCTTCATCGACATCACCCAATATCCCCCATGTGACCCCCTGACCGTCAACAGCTGCCCAGCCCCGATGTGAGTCCCCAGTGTTCCCCACATGTCTTCCGTCGTGCGTGGGGTGGGGGGGCCCCCCAAGTTTTGAGTTGTGGGGTGCCCCGGGTCAGTGGCCCTCGTCACCTTGTGTTTCCCTCTATGTGTAGTCGTAAGGTCCCATTTGATCAGTGTAGTGGTTAGTGTAATTGCCCGTGGCAGTATACGATGATTGGCGGTACCGGTCATACGTCGGCCAGTCGTGTGTGATGAGGTGCGTCGTCTTGTACTCCTTACTCATCTGTCAACCCCCTCCCCCTGGTCGCAGTTATACTCCACATGCCCGGTAACATGCTTGTAAACACTGTGTCTTCATTCGGCATCATGGGTGTTGGGGATCCAGGGAAGCAGATTAGTGCCCAGTTCGCCACGGTATTCATCTCTACCCTAACCCGGAGCACCCCCACCCCAAATATATGTACCCAGGTCTCCGTGAAGAGGTGGCAGCCATTACACTGAGGAAAGAGGGGTAGGCCTGAGAGGTGCATCTTGGTGGAAGTATGGTCTCCCGGGGTAAACACGTGTTCCCCTGTTCTCCCCACCCAAAGTCCCTTGTGTGCTGTCCCGGCATACCTGCAAGTGTCTCAGTCCAACTTAGCAGCACTGATCAGTCAACAGGGGTCGGTGTCACTTTCTTTGGAGGGTTCTTTCTAGGTGCAGGTTAGGGGGGCCACATGACTCAGGCTACTGTAAGGATCAGGCGGGTCTGCACTCACTCCTCCGGGGAAGTCGGGTTCCTGCGCCGTCTGGCAGGTTGAGCAGAGGGGGACCGTGTTTCTTTCCGTCTGGGCCCTCTCTGCGGTCGCTGAGTTGGGGCTGATGTTCCCAATATCCAGTTGGGGACCGCCGGTGCTGAAAGGCCTAGTTCCTAGAAGGCCAGCGTAATGAGATCCAGACATTTTGGTGCCTGGCCATCAATGCGAATGGGAACCCCCATTTATAGGTGATGTCTCGTTCTCGTAATGCGGTCATCACGGGGCGAAGGGCTCGCCGTGCCTCTAGTGTGATTGGGGATAAATCATTGTATAATGCCACTTGGGTGCCCCTGTAGGGCCAAGTTGGTCTTTCGTGGGCCTTTCTCATAATAGTGTCTTTGACTGGGAAGGAAGGTAGGCAGCATATCAGATCTCTCAGGCCATCCTCTAGGGTCCTGGGCCGCGTTGTTCTGTGTGCCCTTTCAAACTCTATGTGCTGTGGTGAGGTTGGTTGCAAGATGGACTGGAAAAGTTCAGTAAGTATTTCCACCACGTTTTCTGTTGGACCTTCAGCCTCTGGGATGCCCCTAATGCGTATATTGTACCTCCGACCCCTGTTATCGAGGTCCTCAAGGTGTCTTCTCATAGAGAGGAGCATTGTTCCCTGGCGGGCTATAGCAGTGTCCGCAGTTGCCACACGTGTTGTAAGGGCCTCAGTGGCCTCTTCTTGCTGTGAAATGCGGCCTGCGTGCGCGGTCACCTCAGATCTGATCCCTGCTATCTCTGCTCTGAGGTTATCTTGTATGGTGGTGGTGAGGGATTTGAGGTCTTCTTTCGTGGCCATGGAGGCCGTGAGGCTGCACAATCTATCCTCGATTCTATCGAGAGCTGTGATCTCCGTCCCTGATGGGGATGTCGGCGCCATCTTGGGGCCTCCCGGTTCCCCGCTTGCGCCGGGTTGTGGGTGCAGGAATCCGTCCAGGGGGCCCTGTTGGAGGCTCTTTGGGGTCTGGGGTTGCTCCGGTCGTTTATTACGACCCATTTGGCTTTTGGTTGCGCGCTTTAGGGTCTATTGCAGGGTCCGGTGGAGCGGAGCCACGCCCCCGAGAAATGTGTTTTAGATATCCCTTCATATATTGTTTTTTGGCACAAAGAATATTTCAAAATATGTAAAATCTCAACAAATATTTTTAAGCAAATGTGTTAGAATTTAAAGCAATGTGTACATTATATGTTTGTTACTTGTTTATTGCAGATTAGTTATTTTTCTACTAGCCCCATCATGAGTAATAGGAATCAGTTCCCGTCCTTCTTCCGTACAATACCCAGTGATGAGTTTCAGTCTCGAGGTCTAGCTCAGCTTGTCACATACTTTGGTTGGTCATGGGTTGGACTCTTGGCAATTGATAATGACTACGGTCTGCTTGGTATCCAAGTGATTAAAGAAGAGTTACTCATGTCTGGAGCATGTGTGGCCTTTGTTGAGAACATCTTGACCAACCTTCCAAACAGAAATGCGCCACATATTGTAAAGACCATCAGAGAGTCAACAGCTCATGTTATTGTAGTATTTTCACTTCCCCATGACTTCATCCCAGTGCTGGAAGAGTTACAAAGGCAAAATGTGTCTGGCAAAATCTGGGTAGCCAGTGAATCATGGTCGACATCTGCTCTTCTGTCCAGTAAAAGGTTCCAAGAAATCTTGGTAGGCACTATTGGCTTTGCCATCCACAGTGGGTGGATGCTGGGATTTACTGAGTATCTTAACAGCTTTCACCCTTCAAAATATCCAGATGATGACTTTGCCATTGACCTATGGGAACATATATTCTCTTGTAATTGGTTTGAGAGACGGAATAATAGGACAACTCAAGAATGTACAGGTGGAGAAAAACTGGAGAGTTACATAACAAAACCAGATTTCAGACTTTCATTTAATGTCTATACCTGTGTTTATACCTTTGCATGGGCCTTGCAGAGTCTGCTTCAATGCAAATCTGGGTCTGGACCATTCCATGAAGGAGAATGTGCTAATATCTCATCTTTCCGACCTTGGCAAGTAAGTAAAACAAACCAGCAAGAACTGTTACTACGTAATACAGTTGTAATTAAAAGTATTCAACCCCCAATAAAAAGCAGGTTTATTGTAAAACTTTACAGAATTTCAGCTGTTTGCAATGATACAATCAAACAAATGCAATTGCAATAACTTAATGCAACAAATGATTCAAGTGGTTTCCCCAAATTCAACTAAAAATGCAATTTATAATGACTTCTCCGGTCTCAAAATCATTCAATCCCTTCATGGCAAGCATCTTTAGTACTTAAAAATATACAAAACAGATAAACAGGCGCAAAAGAAAATAATATGGATAGGATTTAGTATGCAACACCAGCAATGAACCCTGATAATAAGGTACCCAAATAATTACAAGACAGAAAAGTGCTGGTGCGCAAAAATATGTGGTGACACCACAAATGTGTCAAAGTATTCTTAAACTGTATCAGCAATACCAATAGTGTTATCCCAAATAACACACATATGTAAACAAGCCCACCTATGTGAATATACTTATAACCTGCTGGAATATACACAGGATATCTGTAGGGTAGGAGACAAAAACGAGAATACGCACTCCTAGTGCAATAAAGTACTTAAAATTAATTCGAATCAATGCCCTCAATAAAAATGCAACTCACAAATAGGGAGTGGTAAAAGCCCCACTCCTAGCTCTCTCGCCCAGGGAGGATCAGCCCCTTAGGTACGTGGGATCCTTAATACATGCTCTTGTGACCCAGGTGTCAGGTAAGTAAATATTTATTAAATCCAGATAAAAGCTAAAAACAGCAATAGGATAACAGTCCACCGTGAGCTCACCACACTGATGGGGATTGGATGCAGCAGAATACAGTAAAACTTGAAAAACTCCGCCGCCCTCCTCCTTCTGGATGTGGTCCGTTCGCTCGGTGTATATGTGAAAGTCACTTCCGCGTTACCCGATCATGTGGTCACGTCAGTGGCGGATCCAGGGGGGGGGCAACGGGGCAATTGCCCCCCCCGAGAATTCCGCCGGTCTCCCTCCCCTGCCAGCACATGCAGGTGCTAGCCCTGCAATGTGCCTGTGGACCGGAAGGGAGATCACAGATCTCCCTCCCCGGTCCGCAGGCACTGTGCGGGCGGCCGGCGGTGGAGGGAGGGAGTGCAAGGGAGGACCCGGAGCTCAGGCTGCAGCTCCTCCGGGTCCTCCTCTCGTGAGATTTGAAGCGTTGCCGCGGTTACCACGGCAACGCTCCAAATCTCGCAAGAGTGAACTCTAGCCCGGGAGCGCGGGCTAGAGTTCACTCTCCCCATCGGACCACCAATGAATCACCACTGGGACCACCAGGGATCGAAATATGTCCCCCCCCTCCTCCCCAGTAAAGGTAAGAAGGGAGGGGGGACATAGGATAATATTTATTTTAATTAAATAAAAAAAAAATATATATATATAATAAAAAAAATCCACACACACACATATATATTGCCCCCAATACTGCCCCCCCAATACACACAAACTGCCCCCCCAGTCACACAAACTGCCCCCCCATTCACACAAACTGCCCCCTATACACACATACTACCCCCATACACACATACTGCCCCATTAGAAAAAACACTACCCCCACACTTACACACACACTGCCTCCCACATACACACACACACCCTTTACATATACACACACTGCCCCCATACACACATGCTGCCCCCCATACACTGAGCTGCCCCCATACACGCACACACCTTTATACACACACACTGCCCCATACACACACTGCCCCATGCACACACTGCCCCCATACACACACACTGCCCCACCTTATACACTGCCCACATATACACTGCCCCCCATACACACCACAAACTGCCCCATACACACACACATTGCTCCCCCATACACACACACACACTGCCCCCCCATACACACATACTGCCCCCCATACACACACTGACCCCATACACACACATACTGTCCCACACATACACTGCATCCCTGACATACACTGCCGCCCTCACTCACACACTACAACCTTCACACACACACTGCACCCCTTACACATTGCACCACTCACACACACACCACTGCTCCTATGCCCTACTACAGCCCCATTTCCCAGCAGATCTCAGGTAAGTTGTCAAACTGTTCTAAAACGGTTTGACTACTTACTGTGGGAGGGGGTCCCGGCACTATTGACACCATAACCACTACACTGAGCTGTAGTGGTTATTGTGTCTGGATTATTTCTTTAAATAATCTACAAGTGCCCCTCCCGAGATCAGGCTCTGGATCCGCCACTGGGTCACGTGACGCGTTTCGTCCCTCCTTTAGGGGCTTTCTCAAACAAGCAGTGAACTGTTACTATGTAATACAGTTGTAATTAAAAGTATTCAACCCCCAATAAAAAAGCAGGTTTATTAATGTCAAAATGTACAGAATTTCAGCTGTTTGCAATGATACAATCAAACAAATGCAATTGCAATAACTTAACGCAACAAATGATTCAAGTGGTTTCCCCAAATTCAACTAAAAATGCAATTTATAATGACTTCTCCGGTCTCAAAATCATTCAATCCCTTCATGGCAAGCATCTTTAGTATTTAGTAGAGCACCCTTTTGCTGTTATGACCTACTGCACACGAGATGCATAGCCAGATACCAGCTTCTGGCAGCATTCCTGAGGAATCTTAGCCCATTACTCTTGAGCAATGTCCCCCTGTTCAGTAATATTCTAGGTTTTGCATGATGCAACTGCCTTCTTCAAATCCCACCAGAGGCTTTGCCAATGTCGAGCTATTTCAATTGCTTTTGTGTGATTGTTCATTGCAGCTGAAACTCTGTAAAGTTTCATAATTAACCTGATATTCATTGGGTATTGAATACTTTTGATTACAACTGAATGCCTGTTTCATATAGTAACCATAGTTTCCTTTTGGTTTTCCAGTTACTCCATTATGTTAAAAATACTAATTTTCAGGCTGATGATAAAACACGGATATTCTTCAATCATAACGGGGACCCTCCAGCCATTTATGATATTGTAAACTGGCAGCTAGGGACATCGGGAGATTTGGAACAGGTTATTATTGGAATTTATAACTCAAGTGCCCCACATGGAAATATGCTAATATTAGAAAGCACTTCAATTAAATGGAATACAGGGGATACACAGGTATTGTATTACATTTTCTATGGTGGAAAGTGAAAACTCTAGCACTGTAATACACGTAACAATATAGCTGTTAGGGAACTACAATTATGTTTCTGCATAAATCCGGCTATGATCTCACTTCCTCCAGGTGACATATGGCCTCTGAATTTTCAGTTTCAGGAAGCATGGAGTGTCGCTGGGTGGGGCCTCACTGATTGGCTGAGAGCACTCAGCTGACTTGATGCTGCCTAGGGAGGAGATAATATCAGCACTAAAGGCAACTTTGAGATTAAATTGTTCAAAAATAGTTTGACCCTTTGAGGTAAGAGTGCCTCTGGGGACCTGCTTGCACCATAACAACTTAATTTAGATTAAGTTGTTTTGGTGCCTGGAGTGTCCCTTTAAGTGTCCCTTTAAGTGTCCCTTTAATGCAATGAGTATTTAATTTATTGAAAACACATTTATTTTTATATTTAATTTCTTTAGGAACTCTTATGATTTTACTTACCTGCTCGCAAGTGCCACCATGCTCAGAGGTTAGTGGATGTTACCCTATTGAAACACCACTGTATGGTCCCACTTTTCGCATTACCCTGTAACGTGATCATGGTCATGGTGCCAGGCACTGCTCCACAACTCCTTTTTTATTTTATTTCCTGAGGGTGGGACATAGAATTAATTTTCACTTGTGACAGACATCCCGGTACTATCTAGTACTTGTACACGGTTCCTAACCACGACCTCCCCCTAAAAGGACGATAATCACCAACTCTTGCCGACCAGATAGTGCTAACCAGCTCATTGCCCTTTCCAGCTTCCCAAGAGACATCAGAGACCAGGGAGGTACCCACAAACATCCTGGAACTCCTGATCCAGCATTACATAGAATGTGACGGCAGATAAGAACCATTCGGCCCATCTAGTCTGCCCAATTTTCTAAAAACTTTCATTAGTCCCTAGCCTTATCTTATGGCTAGGATAGCCTTATGCCTATCCCATGCATGCTTAAACTCCTTTACTGTGTTAACCTCTACCACTTCAGCTGGAAGGCTATTCCATGCATCCACTACCCTCTCAGTAAAGTAATACTTCCTGATATTATTTTTTAAACCTTTGTCCCTCTAATTTAAGACTATGTCCTCTTGTTGTGGTAGTTTTTCTTCTTTTAAGTATAGTCTCCTCCTTTACTGTGTTGATTCCCTTTATATATTTAAATGTTTCTATCATATCCCCCCTGTCTCGTCTTTCCTCCAAGCTATACATGTTAAGATCCTTTAACCTTTCCTGGTAAGTTTTATCCTGCAATCCATGAACCAGTTTAGTAGCCCTTCTCTGAACCCTCTCTAAAGGTATCAATATCCTTCTGAAGATACGGTCTCCAGTACTGTGTACAATACTCCAAGTGAGGTCTCACCAGTGTTCTGTACAATGGCATGGGCACTTCCCTCTTTCTACTGCTAATACCTCTCCCTATACAACCAAGCATTCTGCTAGCATTTCCTGCTGCTCTATTACGTTGTCTGCCTACCTTTAAGTCATCAGAAATAATCACCCCTAAATCCCTTTCCTCAGATGTTGAGGTTAGGACACTATCAAATATTCTGTACTCTGCCCTTGGGTTTTTACGTCCAATATGCATTATCTTGCACTTATCCACATTAAATGTCAGTTGCCACAATTCTGACCAATTTTCCAGTTTACCTAAATCATTTGTCATTTGGCTTATCCCTCCTGGAACATCAACCCTGTTACATATCATAGTATCATCAGCAAAAAGACATACCTTACCATCAAGACCTTCTGCAATATCACTAATAAAAATATTAAAGAGAATGGGTCCAAGATCCCTGAGGTACCCCACTGGTGACAAGTCCAAGCTTCGAATATATTCCATTAACTACAACCCTCTGTTGCCTGTCACTCAGCCACTGCCTTACCCATTCAACAATATTTGAATCCAAACTTAAAGATTGCAGTTTATTGATAAGCCTTCTATGTGCAGCAGTGTCAAAAGCCTTACTGAAATCTAGGTAAGCAATGTCTACTGCACCACCCTGATCTATAATTTTAGTTACCCAATCAAAAAAATCAATAAGATTAGTTTGGCATGATCTCCCTGAAGTAAACCCATGTTGTCTCTGATCTTGAAATCCATGTGTTTTAGATGTTCAACAATCCTATCCTTTAACATGGTTTCCATCACTTTCCCCACTACTGAAGTAAGGCTTACTGGCCTATAGTTGCCCGACTCCTCCCTATTACCTTTCTTGTAAATGGGCACAACATTCGCTAACTTCCAATCTTCTGGGACTACACCTGTTAACAATGTTTGGTTAAATAAATCTGTTAATGGTTTTGCTAGTACACCACTAAGCTCTTTTAATAGCTTTGGGTGTATTCCATCAGGTCCCATTGACTTATTTGTCTTTACTTTTGACAGTTGAGATTACAATCCGGTAAAACTTCGTAAAGGTCACTCTTGGCCCCAGGGTCTCCAAACAGGGTACTATTTGGAGGGATGATAAAGGAGGTGGTAAGGTGTCGAACAATACCAAGTACCAATGGACTGCACAGTTGTTAAAGTTGACCATGACCTCCCACCCGGCGCTATGGAACGGTGGAACGGTGCGCAGGATTGGAGAATGCTCATGGTCTGCTCAAAACTTAATATTCAGACTATGTGGGCTAGGCATCTCCAATCCAACCCCTTTTTGGACAATATGGGCACTCTCTGATGGCACTGATTTAGGAATATATGCATGGGAACTGTTATTCGTTCCAAGGTGTCTGGCTGCTAATAAAATATCTGGTCAGGTACAGACACTTAGGTGCCAGGTATTGTGCATATTGTTCTCCTGGCGACCCACTGTTGAGAGCAAGGCATAAAATTCTGACAATAAAAACATTCTGACAATAAAACAGGCTTGTTTCACCCTAAAAGGAAACCTTGGTAGTGACATTCACGATGGAGATAGGCTGTCACATCACTTAAAATAATACTTTGAGTCTCTAAAGCATTTCAGCATGTTCTCTTTTTCTTAGATTTTGGAACTTTTTTTAAGTGTCTTGGTTGCACCCTCCTCGCTGTCAACCAGACAGCCAGAAGGGTGCTCTTCTTGTCTCCTATCACAAAGCAGAAGGCTTATCATAGACTATGACATATAAATGGGAAGATTATGATTACTTGTTGCTTTTAAAATATATTTATTTATATTTATCTTAGGTGCCATACTCCAAGTGCAGTCTAAGTTGTCCATTGGGGTTTCAAAAGGTGACAATATCAGGGAAGCCAACCTGTTGTTATGAGTGTGCTCACTGTCCTCACGGGAAAATCTCTAACCAAACAGGTACTGTAACTAGTTTGTAATGTATTATAACAAATCCATATGTCTTACATAAAATTAAAATGTTTACATTGATGCTTTCTTTCAGATGCTGTTGAGTGCCATCAGTGCTCATGGGATATGTGGCCGAATCAAGAACAGGATACATGCCTACTGCGAGGTATTGAGTTTCTTTCCTACAAAGACCTAATGGGTGTCAGCTTAGCAGCCATTGCCTTCTTCTCATCTACAGTCCCAGTTTGCATTCTAGTAATTTTTTTCTACCACAGGACTACTCCAATAGTTAGAGCCAACAACTGGTCCCTCAGTTGCCTTCTTCTAGTTTCCCTCTCCTTTTGTTTTCTATGTTCCCTGGCTTTCATCGGCTACCCACAACCTGAGATGTGCCTACTGCGCCAGGTATTTTTTGGGATGGTTTTCACACTCTGCATATCCTGTGTCCTAGCAAAGACCATTACTGTTGTAATTGCCTTCAAAGCAACCAAGCCTGGCTCAAGGTTACAAAAATGGTCAGGGATCAAGGTCTCATATTGTGCTATGGGAATTTGTGTCCTTATCCAGCTATGTATCTGTGTACTATGGTTATCGTGTTCCCCTCCTTTTCCAGAATATGACACTCAGACACTATCTAGAGTCATCATTGTTACCTGTAACGAAGGCTTATCAGGTGTTTTTTTCTGGATAATGCTTGGATATCTTGGACTTCTGGCTGCTATCAGTTTTATTTTTGCTTTCTTGGCAAGACACCTTCCAGACAGTTTCAATGAAGCCAAGTTAATCACATTTAGCATGCTGGCCTTTCTCAGCGTCTGGGTGTCCTTCGTTCCAGCTTATTTTAGCGCTCGTGGAAAAAACATGGTTGCCATGGAGATCTTTGCCATCCTTTGCTCCAGCTGGGCTGTGGTTATCTGTATCTTTGTGCCAAAATGTTTCATTATATTATTCCGACCCAACATGAACTCCAGAGAGCATCTCATGAAAAGAGACAAAGTGCAAAAATAAAATACAAATAGCTTTAAAAGTCTATTACAAAATAACTCATCTATATTTTATAATAGTCATCAACCCATGATTACAATTAGAATTTGCCATGTAGCAGAATAAATACAATTGTTTTAATAGCATTATTAAACTTTTATTTGTAAAAACCAAAAAAAAAAATTAAAAAAAATCCATTAAAAAAAATTAAAAAAAATCCTTAAATGACTTTTGTATATATTATAATAGCTACCTAGCCATAATTAGAAGTAGATTTTGCTAAGAGATAGAATAAATATTATAATTTCAATAAAATTGTTAAACGTTTATTTGTAAAAAAATAAACCAAGTGCTGAAACAGGATACAAGTTAGCTAAACAAAGTTAAGCCTATTGCCATGGTGAACAGTATTTTGGAGCATGTCACGCCATTAAACTAAGAGATGTTCGGGTTAACTGGCTCAAGGATACATACGAGGGTTAGTACTTCCATTTGCATTTGTTGGGTAATCAAAAAGTATATATATATATATTTGTGATTGGGATAAAAAGGCCAAGGCATCCAATAAGGATTGAGTTACACCAGTTGTAGTAAGTCGGTTGTGGTGTGCCGAAAGCAGCGAAAGGGGTAGGACTGAAAAAGAGGGCTCACATATCGAAAGAGTATAACATGGATGAGGTGGGTGGGTTTCAAACTTAGGCAGAACGTCAGGAGGGAGCTGTGACGAGGGAGTATATATCGGTCAGATACAACTACAGGCATCCTGCCTTAATGTGTAGTTACACATTCTTCTGATGCTGACAAAGCTGTTAAATCGGGAAACCGTGTTATGACACAATGCCTCCACTCAATGCAACTTCTATTTATAGGAAATCCACCACCCGGAGTAGCTGAGTACCCTCCACTTAATAATAACTCAGAGACATGAGATGCATAAATAGAAGGAAATGCAGACAGTAATAATAGTAGATATAACCGTGCAGTTCCATGCGAATAATACAATCACAATAATAATAATAATAATAATTATACAATACTGTTAGATTCTGCAGATATCTCCACTTCTCTCGAAAAGAAAGAACAGACTGTCATAGTGCTGCCTGGAGCTGTGGCTCCACCGCGGGCTATGGACAGGCCGGCCCTGAATCTGGTTACTCCAGGCCTGGAAGTTTCAAATCTGGGCCTAAATTTAAAAATATCCAAACTATTTGCCCACTGTCAGTGATGTTAACTGGTCAAACCTTATTGGTGACTGGCCAGGGCTTGCTTCCCAGCCACCATTTTAAAGTTTTAAAAATATTTATTAAAAAGCCAGTAAAGATAAAAAACATAGAAACATAGAAACATAGAATGTGATGGCAGATAAGAACCATTCGGCCCATCTAGTCTGCCCAATTTTCTAAATACTTTCATTAGTCCCTAGCCTTATCTTATAGTTAGGATAGCCTTATGCCTATCCCACGCATGCTTAAACTCCTTTACTGTGTTAACCTCTACCACTTCAGCTGGAAGGCTATTCCATGCATCCACTACCCTCTCAGTAAAGTAATACTTCCTGATATTATTTTTAAACCTTTGTCCCTCTAATTTAAGACTATGTCCTCTTGTTGTGGTAGTTTTTCTTCTTTTAAATATAGTCTCCTCCTTTACTGTGTTGATTCCCTTTATATATTTAAATGTTTCTATCATATCCCCCCTGTCTCGTCTTTCCTCCAAGCTATACATGTTAAGATCCTTTAACCTTTCCTGGTAAGTTTTATCCCGCAATCCATGAACCAGTTTAGTAGCCCTTCTCTGAACCCTCTCTAAGGTATCAAAATCCTTCTGAAGATACGGTCTCCAGTACTGTGTACAATACTCCAAGTGAGGTCTCACCAGTGTTCTGTACAATGGCATGAGCACTTCCCTCTTTCTACTGCTAATACCTCTCCCTATACAACCAAGCATTCTGCTAGCATTTCCTGCTGCTCTATTACATTGTCTGCCTACCTTTAAGTCATCAGAAATAATCACCTCTAAAACCCTTTCCTCATATGTTGAGGTTAGGACTCTATCAAATATTCTGTACTCTGCCCTTGGGTTTTTACGTCCAATATGCATTATCTTGCACTTATCCAAATTAAATGCCAGTTGCCACAATTCTGACCATTTTTCTAGTTTACCTAAATAATTTGCCATTTGGCTTATCCCTCCTGGAACATCAACCCTGTTACATATCTTAGTATCATCAGCAAAAAGACATACCTTACCATCAAGACCTTCTGCAATATCACTAATAAAAATATTAAAGAGAATGGGTCCAAGTACAGATCCCTGAGGTACCCCACTGGTGACAAGTCCAAGCTTCGAATATATTCCATTAACTACAACCCTCTGTTGCCTGTCACTCAGCCACTGCCTTACCCATTCAACAATATTGGAATCCAAACTTAAAGATTACAGTTTATTGATAAGCCTTCTATGTGCAACAGTGTCAAAAGCCTTACTGAAATCTAGGTAAGCAATGTCTACTGCACCACCCTGATCTATAATTTTAGTTACCCAATCAAAAAAATCAATAAGATTAGTTTGGCATGATCTCCCTGAAGTAAACCCATGTTGTCTCTGATCTTGAAATCCATGTGTTTTTAGATGTTCAGCAATCCTATCCTTTAACATGGTTTCCATCACTTTCCCCACTACTGAAGTAAGGCTTATTGGCCTATAGTTGCCCGACTCCTCCCTATTACCTTTCTTGTAAATTGGCACAACATTCGCTAACTTCCAATCTTCTGGGACTACTCCTGTTAACAATGATTGGTTAAATAAATCTGTTAATGGTTTTGCTAGTACACCTGTAAGCTCTTTTAATAGCTTTGGGTGTATTCCATCAGGTCCCATTGACTTATTTGTCTTTACTTTTGACAGTTGAAATAGAACCTCTTCCTCTGTAAACTCACGTGTAACAAATGACTCATTTATCCTTTTTCTTAACTGAGGTCCCTTTCCTTCATTTTCATCTGTAAATATAAAAAAAAATATTCATTGAGGCAGTCAGCTAGACCTTTATCCTCTCCTACATACCTTCCTTCTTTTGTTTTTAATCTAACTAATCCTTGTTTTACTTTTCTTTTCTCATTTATGTATCTACAAAATGTTGTATCCCCCTTTTTTACTGACTGTGCTATTTTCTCTTCTGTGTGTGATTTGGAAGCTCTTATAACTTGCTTAGCCTCTTTCTGCCTAATCTTATAGATCATTTTGTCTTCCTCACTCTGGTTTTTTTATAATTCCTAAATGCTAACTTTTTGTTTTTAACTATTTTGGCCACATCTGTGGAGTACCACAGTGGTTTCTTGATTTTTTTGCTTTTACTGACAAGCCTAATGCAATTTTCTGTTGCCTTCAATAGTGCAACTTTTCAATAATCCCATTTCTCTTGGACCCCATTTAAATTGCTCCAGTCTGATAATGACTCCTCTACCCATACTCTAATTTTAGAAAAGATCCCAATATCACTACAAGGGATTTTATAAATCTCCATATGCTCCCACCTTCCACCTGCCTTGATAAAAAATAGTGGTGGGTCATCCTAATGTACCCCCTGCCTCCACTCGTAATAGGGGGATAATGGCAGAGAAGGATTAAGATCTCATGGGGCCATAGGCAAGGGTCACTTTATGGTTAATCCTACTCTGGGTGGCACATACTAAAGATATTCCGAGAGGTACCTAGTCTCCCTCCCAGAACCCAGTTATGGATGGTGTGTGAAGGCTATTATAATAAAAAGGGGGTCCTAACATCTCCACTCTTTGCTGGCAGGTAGGGCTCTAATAATTATATTTCCAGAGGGGGGGGGGACCTAGCTCCACAATAATACAAAAGATTGGGTGGACACTGCATTGTCCACCCTCCTGAATTTTGTGGTCTCACCCCTCAAGTGGCTAGAGCAGACCAATTTCCATTTCCTTTGTAGGGACATTATATATTCAGAGTGTCCACCCACTAACAATGGGTATAGGTTGGGGTTAGGACATTATGTCCCCTGGTATAAAATTAGTTGCCCCCACAAACTGGCACGTGGGGGGGGGGGCGTTAGAATGTCAACCCCATTTTTTTTTTTTTTATTCCACCCACCCACCGGTCATGGGTGGGTAGGGAAGTGTCCACCTCTGATTATTTAATTTACAGGCCTCATCCCGAGTTTTGCAAATCTTCCAAATCCTGTATTTTGAATAGAGTTTGGATGTAAAAGCACTGATTTCAAAATCTGCAGATTTGATCTGGCTTTCTGTATTTGGCTTTAGTAAATATGAGAATTTCCTTTGCATTGGTTGGAATTTGGTCATTTTCATGAGATTTTGACGAAATCTGGTGTTTAGCGAATAACCTTGCATATAGTCTCTTGTTAGCTGGGCCAAAATAGCTGCACTAAAATAACAGCTGACTTGGAGAATGTTTCAGTTTCAACTATTGTACCCTAAAATTTGAAATTCGGGGTTACTCACTAAAGTTAAAATATGTGGCAAAGCCACTCAAATGCATGCTATGCCATTAAGACTTTAAAATCCAGGCATTATTCAGGTTTTTATAAGGGACACTACAGATCCCTTAGTTTGCTGAAATGCTTTATGTGTGAAGAATGGGTCCTATTTTTTCATTTTACATAAAGTGCAGATTTCAATAGAAATTGGTATGTTTGTAAATTAAACTTTTTACACTGTAATCGTTCCTGTTACTTCCTGGTTTGGTTAGCTCAGTGGACCAAAACTCAAGTGTCAGCAACTCGCCAAAGCACCTGCCTTGAAAAGACTTCTCATTGAGCTGCACTGGGAAGTCTGTGATTGGACAGCCACAGGAAGTCTGGGTTAGAAGGGGAGGACTTGCAAAGGCTGCAGACAAGAGATTGTCAGGTTTTGGCAGCTGTTTCGATATACACAAATGTATGCATGTTTCCATTTTGGGTATATATACAAAGCAGTGATTTTTTTTAAAAACTTTTTTTTTTGTAATTCGACAGTGTTGTGTCCCTTTAACAATGTATAGATTTTGCTATTCAGGCCCCATATGAACCTGGATTTGGTCCTGATTTTACCCAGACCGAATGCTGCTGGATGGCTGGAATCTGGACCGAATTAATTAAATCAGATTTAAAAAAAATAAGAACTATTAATCTATTCATACTTTGGAGGTGAGCAGACTTACTCAAGTTACCCGTGTTACTTATTAAGATTTTGGGCACCCAAAACCAGGTGGGATTGAAAGCCAAGACTAAACCCACTATAAAGGCTAACATTGTGAATTGGTCACATGAAAGTCCTAAATTATTACTAAAACAGTAAATTTTATGTTAGCAGCATAGTCATGGGGTGCAAATATGTGTAACGTGTGTACCTTTGTAGAGAATTATTATTAAGAAATGTTCAGGATCAACCATATTATTATCATACAATCACATCTTCCTTCAATGACTGTGTGTGATGGCTTGTCCCTGAGTCCCTTATAGCTTTCACTGGCGGGAAATAGCAAAGGAGGCAATAATTAACATCTTAACACTAATTACTCTGTAGCAGCAAGGGGATTTATTTTATCTATAAAAATAAAAATCTTATTTTGGCTCTGCGCACAGGTGGCACGGACACTCAGAAGGGAAAATATGAAGTATGTACGGTTCTACTATTTCAGATTCATCCATGTGTGTATGTGTGCGTGTTTGAATGTGTATATTTGGGAGAAATAGATATTATCACATGAAACAACTGAAAAAACCCAGACACAGAATCTATACCTCAGTAATGTTCTCCAGTGCCGAATGAGACTTTAAACGTACCCATTAGAACACAAGATATGTCAGTTTTTAATTAATTTCCATATTATATGCAAGTCTCCTTCTCTGCACTCGTTTGCAACTTAAAAGGATGCTCCAAGCACAATAATCACATATGCTCTCTGTGTAGGTTATGGTGCAGAAAACTGGTGCAGGCTAACAGTTAAAGGGACACTGTAGTCACCAGAACAACTACAGCTTAATGCCGGGGTCCTGGTGCGTATAGCCTTTCAGAGAAAAGGCAGTGTTTACATTGCTGATTAATAAAACTTCAAGCTGCAGTCAGTCAGATGGCACTAGAGGTGCTTTCTATCTCAGTGCTGCACAGTGTGAATCACTGACATTCATTGTCTCCACACTCTGCATGGAGAGGCTGAACGTTCCCCATAGAGCTGTATTGATTCATGAGGAGATGCTGATTGGTGCAGCTCTACGTTTTGGCGTGCATGCTTTACAATAGGATTGATGACCGCAGACAGGGAGGCAGGACCAGGAAAGACCATCCGTAGAGACACTGGTGCAATGTGGGAGAAAAGGTACGTTTTGTTTAAAACCTTTTCAAAATGATCTGAGGGGGGCTGGGAGCTAATTAATTAAACACTATAGTGTTAGGAATACATGTTTGTATTCCTGACACTGTAGAGATTATTTGATCATCTTTTCTGACAATGGTGGGATAACTGGCAGTAAAATAGATAGTGAAACTTGGATTATTCACTAAAGTGAGAATTTAATGTGAATTCAAAGTGAAGGTCACAATAGCTGAACTAGCTATGCCCCCAGTTAAGTTATTCTAAATTTGAAATTTTCTTTAAATCCACTTTGAGTTCTCCGTTTAGTAAATAACCCTGTCTGTCTTTTCCACAAAGGTTGTTGGGTCTTTGGATAAACTTGGTTTTTGGTCTGGATCACTCGGTAGTAATTTGCTTTATTCCGACATGCTGGTAGAAATAGGATTGAGGGTTAGGAAAAACTAGTCTGACATTCGTAGATCCAGTATTGCTCCCAAATGACCAACTTGTTTTGTTAGCATAATTTGTCTTGTTTACCTATTGTACAGCACTGCGCAATATATTGGTGTTATGTAGTTAATTGGAACTGCACTGAATTCATTGCTGGTTGAGCATCCATATACTCTTTGTTTGGCTGATTTCTATCCTCAGCTTATCTGATTACAACAATAGCTTGTTTAGCTGGTAACTTTCCTTTCATTGTAGGATATTAAAGGGACACTATAGTCACCTGAACAACTTTAGCTTAATGAAGCAGTTTTGCTGTATAGAACATGCCCCTGCAGCCTCACTGCTCAATCCCCTGCCATTTAGGAGTTAAATCCCTTTGTTTATGAACCCTAGTCACACCTCCCTGCATGTGACTTGCACAGCCTTCCATAAACACTTCCTGTAAAGAGAGCCCTATTTAGGCTTTCTTTATTGCAAGTTCTGTTTAATTAAGATTTTCTTATCCCCTGCTATGTTAATAGCTTGCTAGACCCTGCAAGAGCCTCCTGTATGTGATTAACGTTCAATTTAGAGATTGATATACAAGTATTTAAGGTAAATTACATCTGTTTGAAAGTGAAACCAGTTTTATTTTCCAGGAATGGTCTGTCAATCATAGCCAGGGGAGGTGTGGCTAGGGCTGCATAAACAGAAACAAAGTGATTTCACTCCTAAATGACAGTGAATTGAGCAGTGAAATTGCAGGGGAATGATCTATACACTAAAACTGCTTTATTTAGCTAAAGTAATTTAGGTGACTATAGTGTTCCTTTAAGATTTTTGTTCTCTTTTTTTTCTGTTCCAGTGTGAAAATTAATATTTATTGGTCTTTATGGCACATTGTCATGTCCTATATCTTGTCAGCCACCCATTTCGATCACCTGGGCTGCAAACTTCAGGGATCTAATTTGCTTAGACACTTGGAGGAAGGAGACATCCTAATAGGTGCCGTGCTCCCCTTTCATATAGATAAATATTTGGATAGGACTAAAATCCAGTTTACAGAACCTCCTCGACAGGAACCATGTCAAATGTAAGATTTTCCTTCCCTTGGTTTTCTTTCCATGTGCCTTATTTGTTGGTCCAAATCGGCTCTGCTTCTTTGCATGTTTTCTGTGTGATCTTTATAAAATGTTTGCAATAAGTGAAGCTTAAGCAATGTTCCATATCAGCTGCTAAACCAATTTACCCACAATGAATCAATCAAAAGTATCCAGCAATAGGGGAATCTATAGACTTCATGGACAGAGGAGAACAAAATGGGCGCGCCTGGGCATTGAGATCTGGCACAAGAATAAAAGTGGATAAGTAAAAATAAGGCAATTGACAAAGATGGGGTATAATCCGAGGGGCGTAAGTAAAAAAAAAAAAAACTGAAAGAAAAATCCATTTTCATACCTATCAAAATATTTCACATACTTATTATCAATCCTACTCACTTTTTCTATAATGCAGAAATCACCTGTTTGATATAAATCTTTGACTATATCCTGTTTTCATAGCATATACTTTATGGCATAGGCTATTATTAACACATCTATATATCTTCTTCCAGTCACCAGGTATTGTTCCTGTTTATGATTATATACTTGATTTTCTCATTGCGTTATTTGAGCACACTCTTATTTTATTTTTTTCAGTAGATAGATCCAAAGTTTATTTTCACCAATTTTACTCTTAGATTTAGGAATCACAGATTCCTACAGTTCTGTGCTATGAGATTTGCGTTACAAGAGATCAACAGGAGTCCCACTCTGCTCCCAAACCTGACGTTGGGTTTCCAAGTTTATGACTCATGTGCAGGACTTCATGAAGAGCTGGATGGGACCCTGAAGATGCTAACAGGTCAAAGGCAAGGAGTCCCAAATTTCTTTTGTAAGGAATTGCCCCTTGTGTCTTCAGTCATTGGACATTCAACTTCTACTTTCTCTATTCTCAATGCCCAAGTGTTGGGATTATACAGATATCCACAGGTAAGGGGTATACTAATCGTTCTGAAATACTTTACACTGTTTTATATCCAACCTAAACTAGTAACTAGCACAGAGCACACAAAAGAGAGACATGTCTTGTTAAATCATAGTAGTTGTTCTTGTTTCAGGAAATTGGCAAAATGTATACACTGTGTCGATATATGATTTAGGTGCGTCTGTATTCAAATGACTTTAGAATATTTCAAAAATACAGTAAATTGAAAAATTGCATTTACACAATATATACACAATATATATTCATGTTAACTCTCTTTTGTTTTCTGTTTTTGGCTATATTTTTTTGTTAACCTAGGTAAGTTACCTATCAACCAGTTCTATCCTGAGTGACAAAACACAGTTCCCTTCCTTCTTCAGGACTGTCCCAAGTGATTCCTTCCAGTCCAAGGGTCTGGCACAGCTCGTGTTATACTTTGGATGGACATGGGTTGGGTTATTAGCTGTTGATGATGACTATGGACGTCAGGGCATTCAGGTGATTATGCAGGAGCTCTCCAGAGGTGGCGCTTGTGTGGAATTTGTGGAATATATAATGACCAACAATTTGGAACAAATTTCCCACTTGACAAAACTCATCAAGCAATCCACAGCCAAGGTTATTGTTTCTTTTACCGAAGATACTGATAATGTTTTCCTTTTGGAAGAAATGCTGAGACAAGATGTAACTGGTAAAATATTTGTGGCCAGTGAAGCTTGGTCTATCTCAAATTTGTTGTCCATTGCAAAATATTCTTCACTTCTCTCTGGCTCAGTTGGTTTATCTTTTCATAGTGCAACCATTTCAGGGTTTGGAGAGTTCTTAAACACTATTCATCCCACCAACTTTGAAGATGGTCCGTGGACTAAAACATTCTGGGAAAAATATTTTGGGTGTAAATTTTTAAACCAGACATTGCTTACAAATTCACAGAATGATTCCCCGTTGTGTTTGGGAAATGAGAGCATTTTGAATACATTCTATGATGTATCAAACTTAAATGCTGCATACAACCTTTACATGGCAATCCATGTCATTGCTAAGTCCTTAGATGATATGAGAACATGTCAGAAAGATAAAGCACCATTTAATAATGAAAGTTGTGCTGACATTCAGCACTTTAAACCATGGCAGGTAAGGACCTGGTTGGTATTTTCAAATTTCAGGTAGACTTTGCCTTTGAGGTAGACTTTGAGACTGTGAGGGATATGTACGGCTGATGGATAGTTTATATAGTAGATGTTTAAGGAATTTAATAATGCATTCAATAAGAGACAGTGAGTGGGGAGATGAAGAGTGGTGGCCGGCACAACACTTGGTTAAGAAGCCCTAGACTCTGGCATTAAAAAAACACTGTGGAAAATATATAAGTGGTTGAATGACACAAAGGAGACTGACAGTCACAAGAGCTAGTTCTAAAAGCTAGAGGCATGGTAGACAAAAGAAAGGGACAAACAATACAATGTTTACATAGATGGGAACTGAGAAAGAGAAAAGTCCTGGACTTCCCTGGTGTTTTCAGGGATTCCACTAGAAATACAGGATGTTCATGCCATCCTAATGTCTCTAAAGTCCAGTCAGTGAAGGACAACATGGAAGGTCCTAACAGAGGGAAGGGTTGAAGTAATTGTGGGGTTATCCAATCTAAATCTACACACTTGTGACAATGTTCAACAATGACCTGCCCATTTCATTAGGCTCACAGTACAGCCCAACCAATACATACATTTCATGGAAATCCCAGAATAATCCACTTTATGTGGTTTACAGCTGTCGCACTACATCCAGAATGTACATGTGAAACTAAACAATGGAAATGAATTCTTCTTCGATCAAAATGGTGACCCACCTGCGGTATACGATATTGTAAATTGGCAACTAAATGCAGACCACACAATGAGACAAGGGAAAGTGGGAATATATGATACCACTCAGTCTAATGGGGATGCTCTGTTTATTGATGCAAGTGCTGTGAGGTGGGCATCTGGCCAATTACAGGTAAAATGTGCATATTTTTAAATTCTTAGTTTATTTATGAAGCACCAATACCTCTTTTAGCACCATGTATTTAATTTGTTTGTTCACTATTCAAAGCTCGCTGAACATGCTTCCCTCTGATGTACTCTGCATATATTCTTCTGCCTCTAACTATGGGAATATGAACAAGTGTCTCTTTTTAATTAAACGTCAATGGCAAAGTTTAAATACTTGTATGTGCAGCATGACCTTGGAAACTCAATGTGGACCATTCTGGTCATAAGCTAATGCCCAGATTTACCAGTGTAGGGCAAAGAAAGGCTACCATCTCAATTATTTTACTAATACTTTTAAAGTTCAGAACATCAGAAGACCGGTGCATGTCAATGTCAAGATTACTTACTTGCTAGTATTTCCCCTAACATAGTTCAACATCAGCCATGACCTTCTCAGCTTAGCTCTTCATTTAGGGCAGGAGCTGAGATGTGAATGCCAGAATAGTTTATAATGTATCTGCTGATAATGTAAATACCCACAGGAATTGTGGCCAGATGTTTCATTTCTGATTTTTACTTTGGATTTCCAATCATAACCAAGCTTTCAATGTGCCAACACTGAATATGTGTTTTTCAATATCCAAAATATTTTTTATTTATGAATTTTGCAATGTGAGTTTTGTATTAAACATTTTTTCATGTTTGACTTTTCCTTTATTAAAGGGGAATTCCATTGTCCAAATACAAAATAAGCATCATTGTTTGATGTGCTTTTATAATGTAGGTTCCTGTGTCTGTCTGCACCCAGAGCTGTCTTGCTGGTTTTAGAAAGGTGTTACGGAGGGATTTGCCTGTCTGTTGTTTTGAGTGTGTTCCCTGTCCTTTGGGTGAGATTTCCAACAGGACAGGTAAGTGTATTCAAGGAAAATGGTTAACCTTGTCTTATAAGTACAAACAAGTGTTGTGCTATAAAGATATGATATTGAAATAAAAACAAAAATTAAAAAGAATTAAAAGCATATAAAATTTTAAATATAACATTTAAACAATAACTAATGAGCAAAATGTTTATATATATATATATTTATATAAGACAGGGCTCCTATACTCCGACCGAGTACATCTGCCAAATCTGCCTCCTTGCCACTATCAAGGACTGCTTCAGACCCAGTCGCTAAATTTTGACTGGGTTTACTGAGGGCCTTTTTCACCCTGGACCAGGCAACTGTGATTATTGCTCTGGAAACCCTTTCTCCAGCAGCGCAGTGATCTTAGCCCTGTCCCCAAACACCAGATGACATTTGGTGAAGGTTATAAACAACAATTAGGTTTTTTGAAAAAAAAAACACATCTATTTATATCTCCACAGCCTCATTTGAATACAGTAAGGTTACAGGGGTACACAAACTTTTCCTCTAGGTTCTCCACTATAACCTCCTCCCAAAAAGCACAGTGGGTACAAGCCTACCAATAGCAGTAACCAGTTACTGCTCTACAAAGCTTAATTACATTAGTGTAAATGCAGTACTGTGGTACAAATAAGTGTGGGGACAGACCATAACAAGGGCTAAGTACCACATGGGGGAGTTAAGAGAGTGACAGGGCAGCCAGCTTGAACTGGTCTGGAATTGCCCCTGGAACAATGGGACAACATCCAACTGCAAAAACTGTAAGGGGTAGGGGGAAAGGCAAATAAAATCTGGACATCAATACATTAATTTTAATACATATAACTAAATCATATGGGGAAACATACAGGCACTCATAATAACACAATATAAAACAATAGACAGAGGGTCACTTGGGATTCTATTACAAATATAACAAGCAACCAGGAACCCACTCCCATAGGGATAACAGCCCTTTCTAGGGGCTCCTGCGACAAGGCCAAAGGTCTGTGGGCAGGAGGCTAGCTTTTACACATCTCCCGAAGGCTGTGGCCCGGTAGCTTCCACCACAAATGTTTTCAATAGCAGATAAAAAAAAATGCAGAACAAGTTTAATTTATAAGATTTAAAATTTTAAAATGTATTTTCTCTTTTGTGGTTACTTTTAGACTCAGTTGTCTGTTTTAAGTGTTCATGGGATGAGTGGCCCAATGCCCAGAAAGACAGATGTCTTCCAAAGAACAGGGAGTTTCTCTCCTTTGAAGAGCCTTTGGGTGCTGCTCTAGCTGTTACAGGTGTTATCTCATCCTTGCTGCCAATTTCCATCTTTGGACTTTTCATGTATTATAAGAACTCCCCAATAGTAAGAGCTAACAACTTCTTTTTGAGTTGTCTTCTTCTAATGTTGATGTCCCTCTGCTTCCTCAGCTCCTTACTCTTTATAGGTTACCCTCAGTCTGAGAAATGTCTTTTGCGACAAGTTGCATTTGGCACAGTCTTTACACTTTGCATCTCTTGTATTTTAGCCAAAACCTTCATGGTGGTTTTTGCATTCATGGCCACAAAACCTGGTAGCAGTTTAACGAGATGGGCAAGACCCAGCGTTTCCTATATAATAATAGCTTTATCCAGCTTCTTACAATTAGTGTTGTGCATCTCCTGGATCTCATTTGCCCCACCTTTCCCAGTAGACAACACTCAAATCCAACCAGGAATTATCATTGTTGAATGTAACGAGGGTTCACCCACAGCTTTCTGGTTCATGTTGGGATATCTTGGTCTCCTGGCCACCACCAGTTTCTTTTTTGCCTTCTTGGCCAGAAGCCTTCCAGACAGCTTCAATGAGGCCAAATCTATCACCTTCAGCATGCTGGCCTTCCTCAGTGTGTGGGTGTCCTATATCCCGGCTTCTCTCAGTTCTAAAGGAAAGTACACAGTGTCCATGGAGGTTTTTGCTATTTTGTCTTCAATTTGGGCCTTGCAGATTTGCATGTTTGTCCCAAAATGTTTTATTCTATTGTTCAGACCCAACATGAACTCAAAGGAACAACTTATGATAAAACGTAAGAGATAACATGATAACGCCAACGTTTCCTTTTTTTAAATTTGACATTAACATTGGACGTGGAGAGATTAATGGCATAGGACTAATCGATTATTAATGTGCGTCTCTATTTTAAAAACCCCCTCAATGTATTACTAAGTAAAAGTTCTTCTTCATTAAAATATTTTTAGTGTTTGACTTTTCCTTTATTAAATGGACATTCCATTGTCCAAAAACAAAATAAATAAATAATTGTCTCGTGGCAGGTGAGCTTTTACTTGAAAGGCCATTAGAATGATACTAAAAAAAACTCTAGTTATTTATCTAAGATAATGCTAATATCTCCCACCACACTGTTAGGTTAAATGCTATATAGTTCACTACAATAAACCCAGAACACTTCAGCTATATCTTTAGTGTTATAATTAAATGTACCAGTCATATCCTTGATCCTTGATATATATGTTTTATTTTGTTGTTTTTGAATTTCCAGTGCTACTTGTCTACCAGGCTTGTTAGCATACATAACAGTTGTCAATTAGCTTGAAATTATAGCATCCTACAGGTCCATAATTAATTTATTCGAGAGCTTAGAATTTTCACGTCACTGAAAATTAAAGTATTTCTTTCTATCTTTCCTATTGTACATATTTCTATTAAAGTATCCACCTTCTTGTTCTCTCTCTTTTTGTTTTTTCTAAAAGTTCTTAATTTAATTAGATGTCTTCTTAATACTACCTTATGAACCTCCCATAACGTTGTTTTTTTTAATGTCTGGATTGTCATTTTCTAAGAAATAAAGTTTAATACAACTTCAAATATCTTCTACTTTATGAATATCATCAAGAATATCTTCTACATTATAAATATTATCAAAAAGATGGTTGTTTAAGTTCCCATTTAAATATTTATATGAATCAGTTACCAGTTCTAGATTACTCAAGACAGGAGCATGATCGCTCCAAGTAATATTACCAATAGATATGTTTTTGAACAGATCTAAGTGATGGTGAGATATCAAAACAAAGTCTATATTTTTGATGCACTCGGGACAAATAAGTAAAATCTTTAGTCTGTTAGTTATGTACTCTTCAAGGGTCAAGGGTCTATTAACTGTGCAGCAAGTAAAATTCTCTTAACCATAGGAATATTAGAATACGATAGATGTGATCGACCATCAAAGGAGTCCCTTTCAGGATCTGACACCATATTAAAGTCCATCAGAGGAGTTCCTTTCAGGATCTGACACCATATTAAAGTCCATCGGAGGAGTCCCTTTCAGGTTCTGACACCATATTAAAGTCCATCAGAGGAGTCCCTTTCAGGATCTGACACCATATTAAAGTCCATCAGAGGCAGTGAAGGCCTGGCAGAGCATCACCAGGGATGAAACCTAGCGTCTGGTGATGTCTATGCGTTCCAGACTTCAGGCTGCAATTGACTGCAAAGGATTTGCAACCATGTATTAAAAAGTGAAAGTTTGATTTATGACTGTTAATCTGTCCCATTACTTTTGGTCCCTTGAAAAGTGGGAGGCACATATACAAACTGTTGTAATTCCTACACCGTTCACCTGATTTGGATGTAAATACCCTCAACTTAAAGCTGAAAGTCTGCAGTTAAAGCACATCTTGTTCATTTCATTTCAAATCCATTGTAGAGCCAAAAAGATTAGAATTGTGTCGATGTCCCAATATTTATGGACCTGACTGTATAAATTTAGACTGTGCTTTGTTAGGAGCATATACACTTGTCAAATATATTGTTCACTGTCCAAATAGTAATTTAACAAAAATAAAATAACGTTCTTGGTCTTTTAGAGTTTCCTTTAACTCGAGAGGAGTATCAATATAAATCAATATTGCCACCGCCCTTGTCCTGTTTATTTAAGGACATGAGTATAGATCTCTAAATGAATTCTGTGTCAATTTATTAATATGTGTAAATAGATCATTTCAGTGGTTAGTAGATAACCCCCTTTAAAGTCATATAGGGGTATAAAAATATAAAACCAAAACTGTAATATCACAAGTAGTCTTGTTGGTAAAACTTAAGTAATGATGACCAAAAGTCAGTTAATTAGAGTCACTTGTAGGGAAGGTGGTCTAGATCTTGTATACATCAATGTTGAACCATGTAGTGTGCTGGGTATACCTTAAAGCAAAAAACATCAAATATAGTGTGACACTGTATAAAATAACACCATATGTTTAATACCCCAGTACAATTCCCCCCAAATAAGGAACTCTTACATCATAAGAGTACAATGTGGTACTTATCTCTAAGGACCACAGTAGTAGCTCAATACACAACAGCTTCTCCTCATATAGCAGCTCCCGGTTCTCAAGAAAAGACAGCGTCTGCCTCGTGCACTAAGGCAGGCTGTCCATGATCCAAGGTGGAAGAACGCTGGGGGTGAATCCTGTTGAACACTGGAGCCCCTTCAGGGGTAGCAAGTTTCAGAGCTTGAGCGCGAGCACCTGCAACGCGTTTCGCCCTTCTTCTGAGGACTTTATCAAGATAGGTGCAACGGCCGTTGCCTGTTGGTTATATACTTTGCCGGACAAACACATTTGAAAGTTCTTATAGACATATGTCTGTATAATAAAATATACCTGCATGATAAAATGTGTGATTGCTTACACCAATATTGTACAATTATTTCCAGCAATGATAATGTATAGAAAACTGGCATTATTGTCTAATACAGATTTCTGATTGGGCTTTGTCATACCCCGCATTTTCTATTACTATTAAACCAGTCATACAATGTATTAATCATGCATATAAAAAATGGAGAAACTTGCATAATCTGTGATAAACTATTTCAATGATTCCACTACTGTCTTGATGTTATTAAATATACAAGAATACCTTTGAGTTCGTTCTTACTCGTTAACATTATATCCAGAGCGATACATTTTGCACATGTTCATTTTTATCCAATTGAAATAAAATCACTGTATCGCAAGAGAAACTGACAGGCACATTAGATGTTATATTTATCATTAGATTGTCTAACTTCCCATCTCGTTATTGCCGATATTCATAAGGGTTTTATGTGCAGCTTTAAAATAAACGGGGATTCCGTAATGAATGTTCATATTATTAACTAGATCGATGTAGGAGATTTTACTATTTCCCCTCGGGTTTAGTCATGAATGAATGTGCTGAAGGATAAACTGAACCCTTTCCCGATATTGAGGTTCTCTCTTTGTACAATTCATAAATGTCCTCCCCTAGGGTATGATACATATGGATCACTTGTTCAATAGGATTAGGTGTAGACAATAAACTGTTCACTTTGGGGAGTATTTAAACAGAGGATTTTCTTAAAAAGGAAGGATTCTTTACAGAGAGGATTTCTTCATTTAAAAGGACAGTCTCCAATATATTTAATATATTTAAAATCTTCACATGAATAGGCCGTCATATACTTCTGCGCCTCCTATAGTAGTAATTATCTACGTTTCTATTCTCCACCTTCCTGGTCGTATTTGTTTCCAGGGCTGGAGAATATACTCAATTTACTCAATAAGAGATACTTGTATTTAGTAAAAAAAAATTAATAAAGCATAAGCAAGTGAAAATCAAAATAAAGATGCAAATGCAAATAAAAATAGCAGCAAAGTTCTACTGTTGTGGTGGAAATTTAAAATGTCAGAACATGCATAATGACATGGTACCTCCCATAACTAGGAGCAGGAACCTAATCTTTTTATGCGTGTAAGGAAAAATGTGCAGCCTAGTGTATTCTACTTATCCCTCCTAGACGCATCATACAACCTTAAAATCCAAACACTACAATAAATAAAAATAGTAAAAGTTACTAACAATATGATGTAGCCGTCCTATACTATTCGGGATCTCATCTTAGTTGGTATATTTGGGGACAATAAATTAGTTATAGTCACAATTTATTAGTTAGTTCTAGTTCTGCATTTAGACCTGAAGGTGCCAGAGTTTTTAAGTTGTAGATCCAAAACATTTCCCGATAGGTTAAAATCTTGCTGAGCTCTCCTCCTCTCCATGGTGCTTCCACTTCCTGGGTACCACAGTATGTGAGTAATGTCGGGTCACTATTGTGGTGTGTTTTAAAGTGGCTGGCAGCAGTTGTGACTAAAACAATTTTAACGGATGTGAAATACTGCTTAGGGTACATTTTATTGGGGCATGTGATCTTGGAGTTTGCCCTGAGACATACAGAACAAACGTGCAACAGTCTGCAAGAACTTAAACCACCAGATCTGGGCTTTCCCAAGAAAAACAATAGGCTGACCTAATTTTCCCTTCAATTATCTTTGTTAAGCTTGTGGTGGGTTATTAGTAAGACTAGTGGTAGTTGTATTAGTAGGGCATAGGTTGGTGGAATGTGATGTAGAAGCATGCTGGTGTCCTGAGGCCTGCAAAAAGCTTGCAAGTCAAAAAGTAATTTTTTTTTATACTGAACTGCACCAAGGCTACCTCCACCTTGGCTGTAAAGGTTCGTGGTAGTCATAGAATGCAGAGCCCCTCTATTTGTAACCCAGACCAACCAACCTGTACAAATATAAATCGAATTCTTCACTAAGGTGTGGGAAACTGGAGCATACTACATCTCTGTAAATACCAAAAACTAGTAGAATTCGGGAATAGATAACTTTTTGTTCAGCCATGGATCTCTTTCTACAAGAGAACCATAATTAGAATTACCTGTTTGAACTGGCTTGCTGACTAATGCCAAGTGGCAAAAAAGATTAACTAAGTGGCTTGAGATGCTCTATCTATGCTTGGGTTGAGGGGAGCTGAGGCCACCGAATGATGTGGTGGGATGTAGGCCTCTTAGTGACAAGTATGAGCATAATATAGTGTGGGATTGGCAGGTGAGGCCCTAACTATGAAACCTTGTGGGGCGCTAGCTATGATTTGGGATGAGGTATGACCTCTAAGTTAAGGTATGGAAGGCCTAGAGACCCATAGAATTGGGATTCTTACATTACCTTATAGCCAGTAAAGAACTTAACCTTTACTAATTATAATGTAAGAAGTCGGGTTGAATTGAGTCGTAATTTGAAACGTACCTGTTGGAATTGAGGCTGATTAATGAATTGAGCTCCAAGTCTAAAATAAAAAGATATTTTAGAAGACATGACATAAGTATATAATACTAGAATACATCTAGACTAACGATGAACAATATTAAAATGCTACTAGAATTATTAAAGTAACTGTTAGGGGAATAATGAAACTTCAAGATTAATATGGAAACCAAGAATAGAATAAATAATATATATATATGGATATTTTAAATAGTTATATTAGACATATGGAAATCATTTAACACCTAAACTGCCATACGGGGCATAAAACATTTACCAATAACTTACTAGGTTAAAAATGCAGAGGTTTCTGTTAACTGATACCTAATGACAGGATAGTGGAACCTAGAATAACTAATAGAATGTATAGAAGCGTAAGAAGCACAATTTGTTGACTTGTAAGTGTTAGTAAATCGTATGGGGACCCACAACTTATGCACACTCCTCCTAATACACATACCTACAAGTTTGATAATTGTATTCATATCAGAAGATCAAAGTACGTACCAACCTCCAGGATTTGGGTGTATAATATGCATGTTGGATAACCAGTAATGATGTTGAGTAATGTAAAAATTCCCATCCTTTATATCTCAAGATTATGGCAATTCTATATATGATATATTTGGTAATGGTTGAACTTTAATATTATAATTTCTAATAGTACCAAAATGAGTTTAAATTTATTAGTAATGAAAATACTTTGAAAAAGCCTGTCATAGGTGAAACGCGTTGTTATCATCAAGTGTTATTATAATTTTTTTAATACCTTTTATTATCTCCAAATAAAGCCTATAGTTTTATACTACTTTGGAGATTCCAGACCTATCTTTGAAAATATATTTTTATCCTTAAACTTTATCCTGAAGATTCGCACAGGTTGGCTTTTTACTTTTTCTAACTGTCTGTCATTTTAATAAATCAGGTTTAAGACATGCGTGTGAAGACATACCTAAAAACACTAACCGCTTCACCGCAACTTTTCTGCCGGATATATGCAAGAGACTGCCTCCCCTGCCTGTTACCTTGCCCCCCTCCTCTCCTCCTCTCAACTACAAAATTTGCAAGGTGAAAAACTCTTTTTTTACTGTACCTGACCTATACCCACGTGGATAGAGCTGATAATCAGAACGCGAGGCTGTATTATGGCATTGGGGACTGGATGTGCTAAGCAGCCAGAAGGTAAAATATTTTTTTTAAAAAGTCTGTGAGTAGCAATTGGAGCATAAAATATTTTTTGCCGATATTTATATGCATTAAAGCTCTCCAAAGGGAGCATTCATTTTTTTTTTACCCCATCCCTCAGCCTCAAAAAAAAAAGGAGACTATTTCCCTTGCTTGCTTCCTCCCCCATCTTCCCAGTTACAGATAAATCTAAAAAATTGCACTTGTGTAGATGTATATGTTAATGGGACAATCTGCCTACCATTTGTAAAAGTAGACGCTCCAGAGTATCTCATAAGGTGCATATTGTGCCTTAACATGCCCCCATTTTTTCACCAATATATGCCAAATTATGTGGTAAAAAATAATTTTGTGCGTTTTTTACATATGGATTGCATTTTTGCTGGGAATTTTGTATATTTCACACGTGCCACTAAGTTCAAACCCCCCAAATTATGTTCAGCTAAGTCTTCTGAGTAAAAAGACACCCCAATGAATGTCTTTGGCACTATTTCGTGAAGCTACAGTTCCATATAGGAGACCAAGCCATATCAGTTTTTACCGAACTTTGAATTTTGACGCTGGACCTATGTGCTATTTCCAAGCATCTTGGCAGGTTTTAAATTCAAACTACCCACAAAGGCCTACCATTTCTTAAAGTAGACACCCCAGGGTATTTCAAAAGGTATATTCTAAACCTTAGTGCAAGATCATTTTTTTGTTAGTTTGTACCAAGTCTAGTTGCAATTAGCATTTTTTTCTGCCTTTTTGACACACACTTGGAGATGTTACTGTATATTTTGCTATCCTTATGTGTTCTACGGCAGTATAACACCTAATGTGTTGCTCAGCTATGTCCTCTTAGTGCAACAATGCCCCCATGTGTACCTTTTTCAGGGTTATGTGGATGTTGAAGGGGCACATTGGAGACACTCCACTTTCTTATTTTTCAAAAATGGATGCTGGGCCCAAGTCTCATTTTAGCAGCACATGACTGCAAATTACCTCTCAAAGGCCACATATATTTTAAGTATAAGAAGCTCATCAATTCAAATTATGAACAAGTGCATACTATTTGCTGTGAAAAGGGGGAATAGTTGGGGTAAACTTATCTGGGGGTAGTACCCAGTCATCTGCGTCCCATGCAAAGCTGTCATGGATTCCCAAACCAAAACACAGACAGACCACAAAGAGATAGAACACAGAGAGAGAAACTTGTAATACCGGTCCTTAGAATAGCCGGGCTATACAAGCAGAGAATTGTCAAGGTACAAGCCAAAGGAGTAAAGAGAAATGGAACAATGATAGGACAAACCGAGGTCAAGGATCAGAGAAGACAGGATAAGCGGGAGACAAAGCCAAGATTCTGTAACCAATCAGACAGATGACTAAAAATCACACCCCAAAACTGGTCTACTTATTCGGCCTGGGTGTAAAATTTTTTAAAACAGTGGCCAATACATAGGCAAGGCTGAGAGGGGCAATCAGGGCAGTAATAGCTGTTCTCAGCTCTTACGCCTCTCTTGTAACACACCCTGCACCTTTTCTGGGGGTTTTTTTGTGGGGTTGGGGGTTGGTGGAATCTTAAAGCACAAGTGACCTGCCTCCATTCTTCTTCTAGGCTCCACTGATGGTCTCCTTGTGTGGCACTCAAGCAGCCCAGAAATGAGCTCAAACTGGAATGAAAGAAAAGTGCTTTTCAGCCCAGTATTTGCCTTTTTAAAAATGACAAAGGCATTGTGGGTTGCCATCTGCATCAGATATATGCCCACTTTTTTATACCATGTCCTGGTCTTTCGCATGATCAAATACGGCTGCATCAGTTGATCGGACAGGTCAACGCCCCCATATGTCGATTTATTGAGGGTATATATAGTGGCAAATTTACTGTTAAAGTGGGCAATTAGAGGGCGTATTTTATAAAGAAGATCATACTGCGGATGACCTTTTGGGGGGCACTTGTTATTGTCACTGAAGTACATAAATTACAGTATGTCTTCATATCTTTCCCTCGTCATTGTCTCTGCAAAAATGGGGGTATTGCAAACAGGATGTTTAGACCAATACATCCTAATTGTGGGCTTTTTAATTATCCCCATTAACATGGTCAGTGCCCAGAATTGTTTCAATTCTGGCACCCTGGTTGGGTTCCATCTTTTTTTCCTGGAGATAAGAGAGTCTGGATTGCGTGCCAATAATAGAGTCTGGATTGCGTTAACGCTGGGTGACTATCTCCCCCAAAATCACATCCCCCAAGAACAGCTGCATAAAATCTAGCGCACTATAGCCAGAAAGGTCAGCCTGTATGCCAGGATTGGCTGTAAACTCTGGGATGTCTGGGGAAAAATTATTAGGGGGTACCCAGTCATCTGCGCCTGATGGTCCTGCAGTATCTGACACATAGTCCCTGTCCCCTGTGTCCCCTGCATAACTCCCTGCATCACTCTATGAGGCAGTGTCTGAGTCGGCCGCTAACAGGGCATAAGCCTCCTCTGCACTATACTTCCTGAACATTGTTAAATACAATTAACACAGCTAGCAAAACTTTAACTAAATAACTAAACTTTTTTTAATTCCCTAATTCCCACTAAATTCCACCCACCCAAGTAACTAAATCACAAATTAATAAAATCAAATCATAAAATGTAACCCTTTAGGGTTACAAAAAACATAAAATGTAACCCTTGAATGTAAAAAAATAAAAATAGATCACAGTAAAGTACTGTGACCTGTATATTGATCACTGCTAGCAGTGATCAAGCAGTAGGGAAAGGGTTATTTTTTTTTAACTACAGGGAAAGGAATTTTATACTTTGTAAGTACTTAGCAATAACGCAGGGACACAATGTTGCAACGATTCATCTCTCTCCACTTCACAAACCCACACGAGGTGGAGGGAGGCGGATCAGATATCACAGCAGCATGGTGGCCGCTGTGACTGGCTGTCACAGCAATCACATGGGCTGGGATATTGGGATTTGCTGTTGCTGGTCTGCCCCTGACTCGAAGGCACCCAGCAACAGCGTTAACCCCGCAATCGTCGGCACCACAACAATCGGAGGTTAATTTTAACGGGTGACAGACAAGGTCCGTCACTCGTCGTTAAGGCTTTCCCCTGAGTGACGGACCTCTTCTGTCACTCGTCATCAAGGGGTTAATGTAACACCTCTTATAAACATACAAATAATATTGTACATATTTTGTACATATTTGTACATAGTTACGAAAATCAAAAATCCTTAAAAAAGAAAAATGAAAAAAAAAGAAGAGAAGAGGGAAAAAAGGGAGAAAGAGCTAAAGAAAAAAGGAAGAGGGAGAGAAGAAATTGGGAAGGAGAAAAGAGGAAAAAGATTTACAAAAAAAGAAGAGAAGGAGGAGGGAGAAGATAAAGAGGAAAAAAATGGAAGGAAAAAAGAAAGGCAAAAGAAAAGAGGAAAAAGAGAGGAGAAAGGGAAAGAAGAAATGAGGAAGGAAGAGAGGGAGGAAAAAGAAATAAACATATAAGAAATAGAAGCTAATTTGGAAACACAAAAAAAATACTTTTTTCTTTTTTTTAATACTGGAATATCTTCTAAACTGGAGGTTCTTTTGGATGACTGATTTTTCAAAGGAAAATGGAAAAAGAGAAGAAAAAAAACAAGAAAAGAAAGGAGAAAGAGAGAAAGGCAAAAAGAGAGAGAAAAGAAAAAGAACAGGAAAGAAGAAGGAAGATAATAGAAAGAAACGAGTAAAAAAAAAAAGGAAAGAAACAGAAAAGGAAAGTAAATAAAAAGCAAAGAAAAAGGGAGAAGAAAAGGAAAGGGAGAAAAAGGGGGAAAAGAAAAAAGGAAAAGAAAGCAGAAAATAGAGAGGTAAAGGAAAAGAAGGAAAAAAAGGAAATGGAGAAAAAAAGAAAGAAAATGGCTCACAAAAAAGAAAAATCCTTAATCTCTGACAAAAACAAATCTATAAATCTGTGTTGTTATTATGTATTAATGAGTTTTATGATTTTTCAGAGGGAAATAAGACAGGGAAAAACATACTGGCTTAAGGAATGTGAGGCACAAATTAATACAATAAATATAAATGACACTTAACTTTTTATCAATCAATAATCAGTATTTTTATAAATACTACATATAAAAGAGGCCAACTATATCATACTCTACTTCAAAATTTTATAGATGTAGCATATGTGCAAGAAACTCATTGGATCGATCCAACTATGGAGATTTTCTCATTATCCATACGTTTATCAAGACAATATGATGGACGGAAAAACAAAACAAAACGAAGAGTAGCAATATTGATTTCTGATAAGGTTAAGTTTGAGTCGATCTTTGAGGAAATGGATAATAAAGGTAGATACCTCATTTTGACATGTAAAATCAATGATTTATTATAAACATTAGCAAATGTATATTGTCCTAATCAATCTCCAATAAAAATTTTAGAAAAGATAATGGATGGAATAGATTAGATAACACAAGGTACACTTAAATTGTGTCTTAGACATCAAACTAGATAAAATTCTGCCATTTCATGCAATTATATATCCCCAAATAAAATATAATTCAGACTTACTTCAAGATTTTCTTGCAAAAAACTCATTGTATGATATATGGAGAGTATTACACACCCAAGATTGGGATTATACCTTATTTTCAAATGTACGTTGTTCATATTCAAGGATTGACTTGTTCACTACCAAATTACATTCAAAAAACAAATGTATTTCCTCAAAGATCGGCTCAATTACATGGTCAAACCATGCACCTTTGCTTTTAAAGATTAAAAATATTAGAGAATATATTCCTAAAACAACATGGGGATTAAATGAATTTGTATGCTCACCTGGCCCAGATATGAATAAGATTACAAAACAAGCTGAGGACTTCTTCGAAATTAATGATAACGGAGAAGCTTCACTCTTCTCTGTATGGGGATCTTTTAAATGCTAAATGAGAGGGCTACATATAAAACTTGGCTCACAGATGAAAAAAAAAGAGAAGACTCTTTATTGAATCTGAATATATCTGTGAACTGTAAATATATATGTGAACAAGTAAAAATAAATAAAGACAATCCGAATTCAAACACTTCTAAATAAATTATGCAAATTCAAAATCAAATTAAGCTTAAAGAAAAAATAAATAAAAACTTAATGATTTTAAAGCAAAATTGGTACCTAAATAACAATAAAATTGACAAACTCCTCGCTAATAAATAAAAATTTAAAAAGAAGAATATCTAAATAAAAAGTATATCTAAAATAAAGTTAAGAAATAAAATTATTTTATCCCCCTAAACAAATTGAGAAGCATTTAGATCCTACTATGATACTCTATATAATTCAATGAGGAAATACAAGATAATATTGTTAAAGAATTTAAAAAAAATGCAACTTACCTAAAATCAAATAAAAAAATTTAGAACAATGAAATAAACCCTTTTCTATTTCTGAGATTCAAAGTACAATAGAATGAAAAGTTCCAAAGCTCCAGGACCAGATGGATTCTCTGTGATTTTTTACAAAATATTTAACAACATAGTTTCCCCTGTGTTACAACGTATTTACACAAAGTTCTCTATCTGCAAAAGTGTTCCACAGGACTTACTTCAGGCCAATGTTCTCCCGATCCCCAAACCTGGGAAGGACCATGACACCCTGACAAATTATCGACCTATCTCATTGATCGACTTAGATATCAAAATATTTTAAAGATATTAGCAGAAAGACTGAAAACGACAATTCCTGAAATTATTCATAAAGATCAAACAGGATTTGTTGCAGGAAGAGATTTAGCTGATAACACTTGACAAATTTTAAATATAATAGATTATCTAAAAAAAATCATAAAATACAATCAGCCTTAATAGCACTAGACGCTGAGAAGGCTTTTGACAGGGCGAACTGAAAATTACTGGGTTTGCTGATGAAGAATTTTGGTTTAACAGGCTTTTTCAAGGACAGTACAATATCACTTTACACAAATCCGCGAGCTAGAGTCATTTGTCCGGGTCTGGTATCAGATTGGTTTGATGTCCGAAACAGCACTAGACCAGGATGCCCTCTGGCACTGCTTCTGTACATATTAACCATAGAACCACTAGCAGCCTTATTAAGACAAAACAATAAGATTGAAGGTATAAAATCACCTTATATGCAGATGATGTTTTACTAACTTTATCTAATCCAATCGAATCAATCAATAGAATGTATTAAATCTAAAAATTTTATATCCTTAAATTCATACTGCACCAATTAAGCTCTTCAATTTTATATTAAAAATATAAACCTATCTAAATGGATAGAATGGAATATTCTGAAAATAATACAAATTGCTTCCCCCCCCCCCCCCCTCCCCTTAGAGAAAGTAAAACCATTCATAGACTTTCAAAAACGATTACTTCACCAGGAATGGCTTAATTATGCCAAAATAAAACATCTGATCGATAATCAGGCTACTAAGGAATATCCAGAATTTGATATTCTTACTAGTAACCATCATAAAAACAAACAAATATTACAAAATCTATAGAATACAGGAAAAATAAATTCCATAATAAAATGGGAAAGAGATATAAATAAATCTTTCACAATGAATAAATGGGGAGATGAATTTATTAGAATTAGAAGAACAACTTATAGTCTTAGCTTAAAAGAAACATTCTTTAAAATTACCCATAGATGGTATCTCACTCATAGCATAGAATTAAAAAATTTAAAATTAAATACTCAGAAAAAAGTTGGAGATGTATAAAAGGAAGAGACACACTTTACCACATGTGGTGGGAATGTGAAGATTTAGCAGGAATCAAGAAGCATATTTTTAACATATTCATACAGCTAGGTATATCTCGAACAAGGTTATTGCCTCAAACGTTATTTAATTATGATTTCCCAAACCTCAACTCTAAACAGAAAATCTTACTTATTCAAATTATAATAGCAACCAAACTTATAATAGCTAGAAAATGGAAAATTCCTACAGCACCATACTGGATGGAAATACAAAATCAAATCAATTATCAAAGACAGATGAAAGAGGCATTCTATAGAAATTCTGGCAAACTTTCCCAACACAACAAAATATAGGAAAATGGATCACTCTATCCTAAAAGAAAAATAAATAATACCATGAGAAATAGTCATTTAAAAGATAAAATATATACTGACTTTAATTGAATATATCATCTTATTTTAAGTATGCCAGTATACCCTCATGACTCTCAACCACTTCCTCTCATTATCTCTCATTATCTCCAAATTCCCTCTTTCTCAGTCCCCCCCCCCTTTTTTGTATGAATGGCAGAATGAATGAACATTGGAGTAGGATTAAACACTGTTATTGAATAACGCACTCAGAGATATATAAATTCACATTATTACTCCAATGTTAACCATTTTTGTAATTTCTAATCCTGTCAACATTTTGATTGTGTTATTGTATTGTAATAAATGTATTGTTGCTAAAATTTAATAAACATTAAATATATATATATATATATATATTTAAAAAAAAAAGAAATACAACCCCACTCTGTTGAATTTCCACAAATGAAGTTGAGCTTCAGGCTAGTTAGGCTGAAATCCTCAATCCTTAGTGAAGAGAGCAACTCTGTCGAATGGAAAGGGCTTTGATTTTGCAAATGCAAATATAAATCTATACACACACAATTTATATATATACTGCTATGTTTACAATAGGGTTAATACAGCCTCTAGGGGCTGTCTCGTTGACAACCACTAGAGGTGCTTCTGTGCTTCTCACTGTGATTTTCACAGTGAGAAGACGCCAGCGTCCATAGGAAGCATTGAGAATGCTTTCCTATGGACTGACTGAATGCGCGCGCGGCTCTTGCTGCGCATGCACATTCAGCCGATGACGTCCAAAGGAGGAGTAGAGTCCCCAGCGCCAAGGGAGCCCGCGCTTGGGAAAGGTAAGTGATTAACCTCTTCATCCAACTTCAGCCCGGTGGGAGGGGGGCCATGAGGGTGGAGGGGACCTAATGACTACATAGTGCCAGGAAAACTAGTTTGTTTTCCTGGCACTATAGTGGTCCTATAACAGATTTATTTAACCAATCATTGGAGTAGTCCCAGAAGATTGGAAGTTAGTGAATGTTGTGCCCATTCACAAGAAAGGTAGTAGGGAGGAGTCGGGCACCTACAGGCCAGTAAGCCTTACTTCAGTAGTGGGGAAAGTAATGGAAACCATGTTAAAGGATCGGATTGATGAACATCTAAAAACACACGGATTTCAAGATCAGAGGCAACATGGGTTTACTTCAGGGAAATCATGCCAAACTAATCTTATTAATTTTTGTAACAGGATTGATGTTCCAGGAGGGATAAGCTAAATGTAAATGATTTAGGAAAACTAGAAAAATTATCTGAGTTGTGGCAAATTACATTTAATGAGGATAAGTGCAAGATAATGCATCTTGGATGTAAAAATGCAAGGGCAGAGTACAGAATATTTGATAGAGTCCTAACCTCAACATCTGAGGAAAGGGTTTTAGGGGTGATTATTTCTGATGACTTAAAAGTAGGCAGACAATGTAATAGAGCAGCTGGAAATGCTAGAATAATGCTTGGTTGTATAGGGAGAGGTATTAGCAGTAGAAAGAGGTCTCATGCCATTGTACAGAACACTGGTGAGACCTCACTTGGAGTACTGTACGCAGTACTGGAGACCGTATCTCCAGAAGGATATTGATACTTTAGAGAGAGTTCAGAGAAGGGCTACTAAACTGGTTCATGGATTACAGGATAAAACTTACCAGGAAAGGTTAAAGGAACTTAACATGCATAGCTTGGAGGAAAGACGAGACAGTGGGGATATGATATAAACATTCAAATACATAAAAGTAATCAACACAGTAAAGGAGGAGACTATATTTAAAAGAAGAAAAACTACCACAACAAGAGGACATAGTCTTAAATTAGAGGGGCAAAAGTTTAAAAATAATATCTGGAAGTATTACTTTACTGAGAGGGTAGTTGATGCATGGAATAAGCTTCGAGCTGAAGTGGTAGAGGTTAACACAGTAAAGCAGTTTAAGCATGCGTGGGATATGCATAAGGCTATCCTAACTATAAGATAAGGCCAGAATTGGGCAGACTAGATAGGCCGAATTATTCTTATCTGCCGTTACATTCTATGTTTCTAAGTTTCTATATACCGGTATATAAAGTTCCAATTGCTTGCACTCCTGTATTCAAATATAAGCCCGGTGCTTAATAGCCAAAAGATCTAAAAATAATGTAAAGATAGCACTGCAGGGACTTCAAAATAGCTTGAAAAAAACATATCTTTTATTCAGGCATCTGCCAAGGTGAACCAACGTTTCAGTGCTCTACTGGAACTTCCTGACAAAAGAAATCAACGTTTCACACACACACACACACGACATATGAACATGCCCACCTACAAATACATCCACACACAAGCACCAATACATGTACTTTGATGCAGTTTCATTGCTCTACTTACTCAGTCATTTTCAATGTGACGGCCACACAGTACACATGCTCACTCAACGGCATCTAGCGCCCCCCACTGACTAGTACAGTGAAGTAATCATTGTTCATGGATGCTCATTGTTCACATCCAGTCCACTAGCCTTGGCTGCCGGTTACATTTATGTCACGCAAACCATTCTCGTTATATTAACAATGGCTGGACTTTTTCCTGACAGACCTCCTATATATATATAACATTTATTGTGACAGAACCATCTGTCTGCTTGTATTTTAGTTGCATTCGTCTGTTTGTCTCCCGTTCGTATGAATGGCTGGTTTCAATAGCCCAGCCATTCGAATGACTCTTTTTCCCGAACAAACCTGCCGAACGGACGGCCACCCAGGAGAGAAGTGTGTTGCTGGTTAACCTTTTGATCCCAATTAGAACGTTGTGGTTAACCGCAGACACTTCTCAATTAAACCGAATTCAGGGTGGTCGTCGTTCCTATGTCGACCACGAGGCAGCGGCCATTTTAAACCAAGCGAAAGCCCAGCGGTGTTTGGCTCTATTTCTATGGAACTAAAAACGGACACTTTTTCTGCCGAACACCGCTGAAACAACGGAACGCCTGGCTGCCTCCACGAAAGCATGCGAACACCGGCCGTTCGGGAGATTTGGAGCATACGAAAAGACTTAACCCAGATAGCCTTCCCATGGAGTCATTCGTATACCGAAAGACTGTAAGAACTTTGACTCCATGGCGATTGAACTATGTGTGTGGGATCTGAGCGCTATTCGCTAATAATATGCACTCAGATCCAGGCTATCTGGGGATATGTGATACGAATGGGAAATGTTCGGTTATTTTGAAGTTATGCATTTTTATGTCTTTTATGTTTTTATATTTAAGATGGCGACTGGCTTTGTCCTGGAGTTAATTGAGTTACTTGGTAATTAACTCCAGGGCAGAGGGGAGGGAATCATAATGCACTGTGGGTAAAATCTGTGACTGTGTGTCTGGAATGTCCCCATATCTGTCTGTCATTTAAGTCTCCCATTTGGTCCCCTAGGGGAGTGTCCACCAAGTGGGAGACCTGCATAAATACGGGCAGGTAGCCCACAGTAAAGCCAGATCCTGTTTGACCCTCAATGCGGAGCTTCTGTCTCGTTATTGGGGGGATTTCTTCTTCACGTTTAGAGACTGCTGGATGGAACGGAAGCCGCTTGGTGAATATTGCTGTTCGGCGGCTAGCAGCAGTTCGTGTATTGCCGTTCGGGAGTTTGGAGCCGTTCACGGATCCCGGTCGGGAGATTGCCGCTTCCCCTGCATTTGGTTCGTGTACTACAGGTTAGGCTAACGGAGTTACTGTTACTGCAGCCGGGGAAGGTCTACTAAACAGCGGTTTTGCCTAAAGACACTGGAGGTGTCTTAACATTTATATGTTATAAAAATCAAAGAAAAGAGTTAATTGCGCGTTATCTCAAATCCTTATTTTTTTTTTAAACCACTACACACTTATTAACCCTTAATAGGGAACACATGGGGTGGGCGACAGCACTGTAATATGGCCGTATAATACAAAGGCAAATACAAACATACAAAATGAAGTACTGCAATGAAGTACAGCTGCAATTCCTATAGTACACATCTGCCCCAATACCTACAATAAAAACAAAGAAAAGAGACACCACGCAAACTATCCCAAATCCCTTTCATCACTGGACACAAATATGAGTGTTTTAGAGCAGTAAAATGCATAATGATGATGATGATGATGATCTCATCAGTGAAATAGTCATTTTTGTGAGAAACATGCAAAAAACAAATATGAACACTAACTTTGTCCAGGATTTGTAAGTGGCTACTAAGAGAGACTGGACATACCCAATTTTGAATACCCTGGGTTGCCAGTTTTGAAAAATTTTCATTTCTGGGATGCGATACTGTCTCAAAGGCAACATAGGCTCAGCAAACCAAACTGGTAAATTTCAATGTGTAAAAACTGAAATCGTCAAGCTCCTTATTTGATCCTGTAGTTTTCCAAAACCCCACACAACCTGTACATGGGGGTCATTGTTGTGCTTGTACGACATCACAGCATACAAATATGTGTAAGAGTATTCTGACATTCACAGTTAAAACGCAATGCAGAACTACATTTTTTTATGTGTGATGAAATTCCTGTTTCTCCTGAACAAAATGATACATAATAAGTGTGTGTGCACTTACTATGAAAAAGGTAAATTATGGTTGAACAGATATTTAACTCAAATTCCAGGTTTTGTTTTGGTTTGGTCGGAATTTGTTCAATTGTCCGTAAGGGGTTAATTCTCTTTCTCGTTAAGTCCATGTGTGCCAGTCTATCCCCAAGTCCCTTACAGCCATCACTGGGGGAAATAGTAAGGGAGATTAAATAATTAACTGCTTAACACCACTTACTATGTTTATGAGAGCGGTGGGATTTATTTCTGTATAAAGTTATACATACAGATGACAACGACTGACAGAGAAGGGGATATGAAGTATGAATGATTTTTCTATTTAACATTAATACAGAAATAAAGGTATTATTTCAGGTTCTGCACAGAATCTATTCCATTTCATCTCCTTCAATGCAGAATGTAATAGGATAGGAGGCAGATCAAACTTCACTCATTTCATTATTACAAAGGAACTTCATTCTTTGCACACATTTACTGCTTTAAAAACAAGCTGGAATAGGCCCCATGAATGTCTATCTCAGCCTTGTTTGATCTCCACAGGGCTAGAGGAGGTTCAGAGCAGTGTTATGTTATCGTATTTCATCAAATTAACATATGATATGTGTACCAGGAATGAAAATGAATGGATAAAGCAGTTTATTAGATGGAACATTCTAATAAACATCATTGTTCATGGATGCTCATTGTTCACATCCAGTCCGCTAGCCTTGGCTGCCGGTTACATTTATGTCACGCAAACTATTCTCGTTATATTAACAATGGCTGGACTTTTTCCTGACAGACCTCCTATATATATATATATAACATTTATATTTTATAAAAATCAAAGAAAAGAGTTATTTGCGCGTTATCTCAAATCCTTATTTTTTTTTTAAACTACTACACACTTATTAACCCTTAGTAGGGAACACATGGGGTGGGCGACAGCACTGTAATATGGCCGTATAATACAAAGGCAAATACAAACATACAAAATTAAGTACTGCAATGAAGTACAGCTGCAATTCCTATAGTACACATCTTCCCCAATACATACAATAAAAACAAAAAAAAGAGACACCACGCAAACTATCCCAAATCCCTTTCATCACTGGACACAAATATGAGTGTTTTAGAGCAGTAAAATGCATAATGATGATGATGATGATGATCTCATGAGTGAAAGAGTCATTTTTGTGAGAAACATGCAAAAAAAAAATATGAACACTAACTTTGGCCAGGATTTGTAAGTGGCTACTAAAAAAGATTGGACATACCCAATTTTAGATGAGACAGATACACACACAAATAGTCACAATCACAATAAACAAATCCATCACATCTCTGTAAACATATCTGTGAACAACATTATTCAATAATTAACGGTCCATCTGGGGATCTCTTGTTGTTGCTGCCAAACCAAACACCAATATTCAGATACATGGTTTATGGCTGTGGATCTTGCTTACTTGGGGCTATTTCAGGTTAGTAAGTAGACCTGCTATACGTTTCAGGCAACTTCTGTGCAAGTTAGTATATTTTTTCTTATCTACCACCTGGAAGTCCACTGGTGGTCCAAGACCTCACTCTCCACAGGTGGTCCTATGCCACACTCTCTACAGTTGGCCTGATGTCTCATTTATTTTCCTACTTCAGTGAATCACAGAAATGTACTGAACTTTTGTAGAGTTAAATAATAGTCATAAAAGTGTACCTTTTATTGACCTAATCTGACTGTTATTTTTTATTTTTTTTTACTTTTTGTACTTATGAGAAGTTTGTTGTGATCACTACATTTTCCATCATGTAGTGATGGATTATATTAAGACCAGAGCAGACTTTCTGTGAAGGGAATTGTCATCAATTTTATTCCCAAGCTATGTCTAGAAAAAGCATAGAATTAAGTAAGGAATTGATCAGTGGTCATTGCACCTCTCAGAATGCCTCTCCATTGGAAATGTATTACTTATAGATCGGGGTTAATCTGTGTAGAGTAAATATCTCATGCTGTAAAATCCTCAAAACACTATTTACCAGGTTTTTGTATACCCGTCCCCTCACCCTGCTTCTGATTCCACTCCTTAGCAATCATACTAAGTAGCTGGACTAGAAGTAGATGGAGCAGAAGAAAGTGGGCTGTTTTTGTTATATGACTTGTATGTTATGGCTGATGTATCAAATTGTATGATGAAATGTATGCCGGACATATTGTATAAAACAAACAAGGAGAATACTTTGGCGCTGCCAACTAGAAACAGTTCAGGATTTTTGTGTGAGCATTGCTAACATTTTATTTTTCTGATTATACTCATAAATTATGACTATTTATTCTTTGTAGGATTTCCATGAATTTGCATCAAAATCACATTTTTGAAATCTCATGCAAATTGAAAACCATTGTCTATTGGCCAATATGGCACATTGTGCTGTTCTACCTTTTGCCGGCTTCCCTTTACGATCAACCAGGGTGCAGACTACATGGATCTGATTTAATCGGACATTCAGAGAATGGAGATCTGTTAATAGGTGCAGGGCTCCCCTTTCACATAGACAGATATGTGGATAGGAGTAAAATATTATTTACAGAGCCTCCTCAAAATAAACCATGTACATTGTAAGTTTTCTATGTCCTTATATCATTTTTTTCATGATTTAATTTGTTCTGTATGTGTTTATTTTGCTAGTCTATAATACTGAATTCATTTTACACAGTTCTCCTGTTTTTTTTCAATTCTTATTCCTCAGTTTTCCCATTATATTTGATTATTTATTATAGATATAGGCATATTTTAATTGTTTATATGTATCTTATTTAACATAAAATGCTGTTTGCATACATTTATATCTTCTTCATCTTTTGGCTATCAAGTATTCCATCATTCTATTCATCTGCTCTTTCCTATACTACATCATAGCTCTTATGTTGATGATAATTTTGTGTTTTTCCCTAAAAATAAATAAATAAAATTATACCTAGGTTTAGATATCAACGATTTTTGCAGTTTTCTGCCATGAGATTTGCTTTATATAAGATCAACAGCCTCGACCTGCTCCCAAACCTAACATTAGGATTTCAAGTCTATGACTCATGTACAGGGCTTCATCAAGAGCTGGATGGTACCCTAAAAATGCTTACGGGTCAGAGGGAAGGAATCCCAAATTTCTCCTGCAAGAATCTGTCTCCTACAGTCTCAATTATTGGACACTCAACCTCTACCTTCTCTATTATCAATGCCCACATGCTGGGATTATATGGATATCCTCAGGTAAGAAGTATAATGATAGCTTTGCATGGTTCTAAAGCTACGTATACTGTTTGTACTTGTTGGACTTGTTTTGTGTACACCGTAGAAAGGGACAGACTGAGAGCCTTCTGGGCCCCTGGGCAAAATTACCTCTTGGACCCCTTGAAATATATATATAATGTTGGTTCTTGCACATACATGCACAAAGACAAGCTCACTACACAAATCTCACTACAGACAGCTCACACTAGCATACACAACAAGCTCATTACAGACAGCTCACTGATATGTACACAATGTCACTACCCACAAGCTCATTGTTACATTCACAAGCTCATTCACAGACACACAAGCACACTTCTAACAAATCACTACACATGAGCTCACCCACAGACATTCAAGCTCACTATAGAAAAAGCACTACACACAGCTCACTACAGAAATCTTACTGACAACATGCAAGCTCACTGACACACATACACAAGCTCACTAAACACAAGCTCACTGAAACACAGACAAGCTCAATTACACATTCACAAGCTCACTCACAGACACACAAGTTCACTACTGAAAAATCGCTTTACACAGCTCACTACCGAAATCTCATTACACACAATCTCACTCACAGACATTCAAGCTCACTATAGAAATAATCACTACACACCGCTCACTACGCTCACTATGCACACCAAGCTCACAACAGAAAGCTCATTGATACAAGCTCGAAACAAACCTCTAACTACACACAAAGTCACACAGTTCACGGGGACACACAAGCTCACTACAGAAAACTGACACACACAGACAAAAGCTCACTACACCCAAGCTTACTGACATACACACACAAGCTCACACATCTCATTACCGACAGCTCACTCACATGCACACAATGTCACTACACACAAGCTCACTGACACAGTTCACTAAACACAAGCTATTTGACACACAAATACACATACACACAAGCTCACTAAACAGAAGCTCACTGACACACACACAAGCTCACTAGACACAAGCTCACTGATACTCACAAGTTCACTAAACACAAGCTCTTTGACCCACACAGACAAGCTCACTACACACACAAGCTCACTAAACACAAGCTCACTAACACACGCAAGCTCACTAAACACATTTTTGACACACACACAAGTTCACTACACACACAAGCTCATTGACACACACACAAGCTCAGTGACACACATACAAGTTAACTAAATACAACATCTCTGGCACACACACAAGCTTACTGACACACACAAGCTCACTAAACACAAGCTCACCAAATACACTCAGGCTCACTAACACTCACACAAGCTCACTGACACACACACAAGCTCATTAAACACAGACTCACTACACACATGCTCACTGACACACACACACACACACACACTCAAGTTCACTAAGCACAGACTCACTACACACACACTCACTCAAACACACACACACACACACACACACAATCTCACTAAACACAAACTCACTAAACACAAGCTCACTACACACAGGCTGACTACACACAAGCTCACCGACACACACATGCTCACAACATGCATACAGAAGATCACTAGCACACAAGATCACACTGTCACTCCCCCTCTGCTGCTGTGGATGGAGAGCTGGATGCCTGGAACACAGGCTGTACCTTACAGCATAGACAGGTTGGAGCTGGGGGTGGAGCTTAGGTGTTGCTGGTTCCTGCAGCTTGTGCTGCACGTGGGAGAAGCTTACAGGGGCCCATAGGGGGTTTACCTTTGACTCCACAGAGGGGAGGGGCTAAGGGAGGAGGAAATTCCCTCCTCTTCTACAAACATAGCGCTCTCCTGCTGGGGAAGTTTATCAGAGACCAGGTAAGGTGAGTTTCCTGCAGGTTTCACACTGCATTGCTGCCTTATTTAACACTGGGCTGGTTGGGGAGATCCTCTGATCTCCCCAGCCCAGCAACAGCAGCTCCAAGCCCCTGACTGCCACGGGCCCTCAGTCCATGACCGCTGTACCGGAGTGATCAGTCTGTCCCTGAGCATCGAAGTCTATAAATAGCAAAAAATAGTTTAGATGAAATCTATGATATAGTACTTGATTTGGTCTCAAAACATTTTAGTCTATAAAGTTGCATTTTGTACACACTGTTTTTATATACAAACAATAAAAAATTGACAAAATGCACTTAAATCCGATTTTGATTTTTCACCTTAGATTAGTTACTTATCAACCAGCTCTATCCTGAGTGACAAAACACTATTCCCCTCATTCTTCAGGACTGTACCAAGTGATACCTTTCAATCCAAAGGTCTGGCACAACTTGTGTTATACTTTGGCTGGACCTGGGTTGGGTTGGTGGCTGTGGATGATGACTATGGGCGTCAAGGGATTCAGTTCATTAAGCAAGAACTCCTCAGGGGTGGAGCTTGTGTGGCATTTACAGAATATATATCACCAAATAATTTGGAACATATCTCCCATGTGACAAAAATCATCAAAGGATCCACCGCCATGGCTGTCATTTTGTTTGCCAAAGATACTGACAAAGTTGTCTTTATGGAAGAGATGTTGAGGCAAAATGTAACAGGTAAAATCTTTTTTGCCAGTGAAGCTTGGTCAATTTCAAACTTGTTTACAATGGCCAAATATTCTTCACTACTCTCTGGAACAGTTGGATTCTCATTTCATAGCTCAACAATCCCAGGATTTAGAGAATTTGTTAACAGTATTCAACCCTTTAGTACGAGACAGGATCCATGGACTAAAATATTCTGGGAAAAAGTGTTTGAGTGTAAATTTGTTGACCAAACAATTCTCACAGATTCATGGAATAAGTCAAGATTGTGTACAGGAAATGAGAGCATAGAAAGTATCCAGACTATTTTCTATGATATATCAAACATAAATGCTGCATACAACATTTACAATGCAATCCATGTCATAGCTCAATCGTTACGTGACATGCAAACCTGCCAAGAGAACAAAGGACCATTTACTAATGGCAGTTGTTCGGACATCAGTTTTAAGCCATGGCAGGTAACGACCTCTCCAGAACTCAAATACCATGACCTAAATACAATATTTTATTATAAGCTTTTCAAGTGCAAAATAATAACCCCAACGAGAAAGTGTGAGTTAAAGCACTTTAATAAGTGTAATAGATTAACAGCAGCTCAAAACAACACTTGTGTGGGTATGCCTCCTTACCTCTACTCAAATATAGTACAATGTAAAAATATATGTGAAAAAAACTTTAAGAATATAGTTGAGTGCTATGAAATAATTGTCTTACTTTTTGAAATTTTTTGAATAAGTGAGTAATTCACAATGAGAACTTGAAAGACACAAAACCGAAAAAGTGCAAATGTTAATACAAAAGTGGCAATATAAATGTGTTTAAAGCCACTCACATTGGTTAGAGCCTATATGATTGGCTCAATTCTCTGCACAATCATACTTTATTGTCAGCCCCACACCTATGTTCATAAAGAGTACAGAAAGATGATGGTAACCTTGTTCTGGCTGGCGATAGGAAGAGACGTTCTGCAAAAAGCCTTAATATCACTTCCAGAAGCTGTAAGTAAGGGCTAACATTCTTCAGGAATGCTCAGTGGTGGATTACCTCCATGTGACCCCAGAAGAGGTCACAAAAAAAAGATGGATTGTTGGGACAGAAGAACATTGAGGCAGCATAACAGAGAAACATGTCTTAGTAAGGATTTTATCAGACTTTAATTAAGTGTATGCTTTTAATTTTATTATTATTATTATTATAGTCTCAAAAAATATTGGATTAGCACATGTGGTTTGTCAGCATAAATTCCATGTTTCAGGCAGCAGTAGAGGTCACCTTATTATTGGCACTATGCTTTTCGGCCAGGGATGCATTGGGCCAGAGTCATAACTAGAAACCACGGGGCCCCGGTGCGAAAATTGCCCTGCCTCCCCCCCTCTGTATGTCAATCCCCCCTCCACCCTCCTCCCATACGTCTATCGTCCCCCACCCACATGTTAGCTCCTCACCCCACACATGCAAACAGATACACATGTAGACACACATACATACAGACACAGACAAACATACACACACATACACACATACAGACACACAGTCATATATACAGACAGACACACATACATACAGACACACAGACAGACATACACACATATACAGACACACATACATACATACACACAGACAGACACGGAGACAGACATACATACACACACATACACACACACAGACAGGCATACACACACACAGACATACAGACAGACAGACATACAACACACACTCACATACAGACAGATATACACACATACATACACTCACAGACATACAGACAGACAGACACACACATACAGACACATAGACAGACATACACACATACACACTCATACAGACACATAGACAGACACACACACACACACATACAGATACACACACACTCACATACAGACAGACATACACTCACATACAGACACACATACCTTCCCCTGGGGTCCAGTGGTGGCTCAGGCTGATGGGAGTCAGAGTTCCCAGTCTGACTCCCCCTCCTTCAACCCGCGTGGCTCCCAGTGGTTGTTGGGAGGAAGTGACCGGGGAAGTCACTTCCTCCCAGTCTCTGACATCATCAGAGGGGGTCCGGTCGCACTGTTAATGCGCTGATTGGGCCCCCAGGAATTACATAGCATCGGGTGACCCGAATAGCATGGGCCACCCGATGGGCCCCTTCAATGCGACCCCGGAGGTTATACCGTGCAGGCAGAGGCCACATTACTCAGCTGGCGGGACCCGCAGTCACAGGGGTCTGCAGGGTGGCTGGGCTTCCTGAAGTGAGGGGCCGGGTCGCAGCTGCGACCCCTGCGACCGCGGTAGTTCTGCCACTGCATTGGGCTCTGAATAAGGTGGGGTTTATACTAATTACCACCTAAAACCAAAATCTAATTCCTACTACACTATTGGTACCCCTTCTGTGTCTTGTGTTTCTTTTGAGATTTGGGAGTGACTTTTTGAAGATAGGATGGTTGTGCCAAAAAAACACAATTGCATAGAGGATTAAGCCAACCATATTGGCTCTAATCAATGTGAGTGGATTTATACACATTTACATTGCCACTATTATTACCAGTATTACCATTTGCACTATTTGCTTTTTTTTTATTTTTTATTATGAATTACCCACTTACCCAAAACTTGCAAGACAATTATTTTTTAGTGTTCAACTATATTCTTAAGGTGTTTTTCACTTGCAAGATATTTTTTACAAGCTTTTCAAATTATTTCATATTTTTGGATAAATGTTTTTATTATTTTTTCAAATTATTAAAATATCCTGGAATATCAAAATATGAAAATATATTGTTTTTAAATATTAATTAGTTTGATAATTTATCAAAAAACATTAAATCGAGGATTATGTATGTAGCAGAATGCACACAACCCTTGATTTTATATTTTTGGATAACAAATAATGTAATCATCATGGAAGCTCCCATGTCATAGCCTCCTAGAGAGACTTGAAGGCTAGCCTCATGCCCACAGACCATGGATCCCATCACTATCTTTAAAATGATGTATAGCATGTCGGAGTACATTGTGTTATTGTTGAGTTATTCTGTAAAATGTTGAACTGGATTAAAGCTATTGTGTTAATTATTAGATTGTGGAATGCATCATGGTGTCCAGCTGATAATTACATTATCATGTCTTAACCTAACTATATCCCAGACACCAAGACAATAGAGAGTGGTTTGCATTGTTCTGGCTAAAGACAACCTCTTGTGTGCAGTGGTATGAATAGATAAACAGTTCTCTTATTTTACCCAACACAACCAGTCTTGTCCACAATACTGGGGAATTGTACAAGGTTCAAGAGAGAAAAAAAAATCACTTTTCCTGTAGTTTATAATCACTGTATGCTGTAGCTGAATCCAGGACCTGCAGAGGATTGCAGAAGCGGCAACCAAGGACCTAAGGGATTTTCCTACCTGTGACAGTAATATTTTTGGATAAATGTTTACAATGATTGCTTTTTTCAAAATATTAAAATATCAGAAAACACATGATATTTATATTAAAAAAGTATCAATACATAAAAATGTATCAAATTATTACAACTTTAAAGTATTTTCGTAATATTAAATCATTTTAAAATGTTATCCCAAAATATCAAATCGTTTAAAAGGCTTATTAAACAATAAAAAAGTAGGTTATGCACTCACTAGGTAACCAAATGTGAGGCAGCAGTGAACCAGCAGGATTTCCCAATACCTGCTTATAGTGGACTGACATGTAAAATAGATAAAGTGGTAAACCGTGCCAAAAAGTGCTCAAAAGTGCAAAATAAATCTGTTATACATACATATTAATCTTGGCTAATATAGCATGGTAAAATCCTCAGGGGAAACAGAAAAAAACAATAGAATAATAGTGCAATATGCTATAACTAATAGACACAAATGTACATAAAATTCCAGATAAAAGGAAAACTCGCAATTTGCAGAGCTACTAAGAGCTCTGCTGTATAGCGCCTGGACGGTATAATCCCCGTCTTGAGAAATGTAGATATTGGCTATATGGGATATCCAGAATCAGCAACCATATATGGGAAGAAAAACAAAATACAAGAACCAATGGGACAGTATAAAAGCCAAAATTGGAAGAATAAAATATAAATATCCTACTTACAATATCCAGAGCAATGACTTGCTCTGGTGTTGGTAGCTTGTGGTAGTATGATCCCCACCAAAGGATATAAGCATATAACAGGAATCCAGCAGCACCAGGAAAAGATTATGAAAACCAGAAGAGGATTGGATAAAAAAAAAAAGCTTGACTTTATTAATAAAATCAATATAAAGTAAATTTCAGCTTCCAGTCCTTCACTTGACGTGTTTCGCCCGGGTTTGGGCTTTATCAAAAGTGTGGATGTACTTGGAATTCCCCCAGACTTTTATAAGTGGTCTTGATTATTAAGTTAAACAATATTAACCCCTTAAGGACAGAGGACAGACCCCTCCTGCACCTCTAACTAATGTCCCATATCCCTTCTCCCTTTTTCCTTGAAACATCTGGGAAGACTTGTCTTTGCCTGTGTGTCTCACTGCCTCAATTCCAACTCTCTCCTTGACCCTCTTCTATCTGGCTTCCACCTTCTCCACTCTACTGAGGCTGCTCTTATCAAAGTTACTAACAACCTAATCGCAGCTAAATCCAAAGGCCACTACTCCGTACTAATTCTTCTTGACCTCTCTGCTGCATTTGACACCGTTGATCATGCTCTCCTTCTTCAAACTCTTTAATCACTCGGTCTCTATGACTCTGTCCTCTCGTGGTTTTCCTCTTATTTCCTCCAACGCTCATTTAGTGTCTCCTTTTCTAATACTTCCACCCCCCTCATCCTGTCTCGGTTGGAGTCCCCCAAGGCTCTGGCCTTGATCCCCTTGTATTTTCTCTCTATACCGCCTCTCTTGGCAAACTCGTTACCTCTTTTGGATTCCACTACCACCTGTACGCTGATGACACCAAGATGTACCGCCCCTTTTTTAACACCAGATGCATCTAAGGTGCTGGTCCATGCTGTTGTTCTCTCTTGCCTTGACTACTGCAATACCCTTACCAGATTGCACAGCTGCAATAATCTACTCCCACCTACCTATCCTCCCTAATACATAAGTATGTCCCATCGAGGCCCCTACACTCTAGCAAAGATCTATGTATATCCTCTCTCCATACTCCTACCTCTAATGCTCGCCTCCAAGACTTCTCCAGGGCTGCACTTCCTCTGTGGAACTCCCTTCCCGTCTCGGTAAGAATTTCACTCAGTCTCCATTGATTCAAAAAAATCATTGAAAACTCACTTCTTCAAGAAAGCATATCAATTAAATTGTTAGCAGGTTTTTCTCCCCCACCCCCCATGACTCCTTTCCCGCAACTGTAAAAATTACCTACGAAGCACTCAGTGAATACTTTTCTAACAACCTACTTCACACCCCTACTTTTACCCTATGTGTCACTATACCCCACTCCCTCTAGAATGTAAGCTCATTGAGCAGGGTCCTCCACCTCTCTGTTCCTCTACGTCCCGTTGTCTGGTTACAATTAAATGTCTGTTAGTCCACCCATTGTACAGCGCTACGGAATCTGATGGCGCTATATAACTAATAAAACAAAATAATAATATATCTCTCCTCCCTGGACCTCTCCCCTGCCATCCTGCAACGTGTCACTGCTTGCCTATCTTCCATCTCTGACTGGTTGTTCTCCCGCTTTCTGAAACTCAATCTCTCTAAAACTGAGTCTTTCCTCCTCCTATTACTGACCCTCCTCTTTCACTCTCCCTTCATGTAAATCCATCCTTGCAAGCGCTCTGTCTTGGCATCATACTTGACTCTGGCCTCACCTTTGAACCTCACATCCAGTATGTTGCCAAATCCTGTAGATTCCATCTTAAGAACATAGCCTGCATCTGGTTCTTTCTTACACAAGATGCTACCAAGGAGCTTATCCATGCTCTAGTAATTTCCTGCATGGATTTTTGTAACCCGCTCCTAATTGGTCCTCCCAAAAGCCATATTGACCTGCTACAGTCTGTAATGAATGCTGCCACCAGACTGATTTTCCTCTCTAGTCGGTCCTCTCACAATTCACCCCTCTGTCAATCCTTACATTGGCTTCCTGTATCCTATAGAAGTCAATTCAAAGTGCTAACTCATACCTATAAAGCACTGGACAACTCTATCCCTCTTATATCTCATATCTGATAATCCACCTCACAGGTGTGGCATATCAAGATGCTGATAAGACAGCATGATTATTGCACAGGTGTGCCTTAAACTGGCCACAATAAAAGGCCACTCTAAAATGTGCAGTTTTATCTCTAATCTCTCTCCTTCCCCTACCAATACTCCCTCCAACCCCACTTGCTCCACTGTTCTATGCTCATTAGCACCCACAACACTGGAAGACATATTTACTCTTCTTTGGTCTTCCCAACCCACCACCTGTTTCCTCGATCCTATTCCCTCATATCTCATCTACACCCTATCTTGTTCTCTTTCTCTGCTTCTCACTATAATTTTCAATATCTCCTTCACAGCCTCTAAAGTGCTAGTATTTTATGTTTTTCTTTAGTTTGTAACTACATTTTAGAAAATGTTGGAGGTTTTGGGGGCTTTTGTCTATCTGTTTGTTTGTTTTTATTGAACTTTAGTGTGGTTATAATTTCTAGTGATAATTGTATAGTTCATTGTTCATGCTTGTAAATATGACTTTATTTTCAGTATCAGGTTGGAGCACACTTGTTAAATTATGATACGTATTTACTTAGAAAATAGTTATTATCCAGAAAACTTTACACAGTGATTATTCAGATGTAGGGTTGCAGACAAAGGGAATTTATAATTAATGTCTATGGTTCATATGTCATCTCAATAAAATCCGTGAATGATACTGTTGGTACCCTTTATCTGGTTCACAGCTGTCTCACTACATCCAGAATGTTAAAGTGAAACTAAGTAATGGAAGAGAATTGTTCTTTGACCAAAATGGAGACCCACCTGCCGTGTATGATATAATAAACTGGCACATGAATACAGATGGCACAAAAAGGCATGTGAAAGTGGGCAGCTATGATACTACTCAGGCCAACGGGAACAGCTTTCTTATCAATACAAGTGCGCTGATATGGGCATCTGGCCAACAACAGGTAAAAAAAAAAAAATTAAATTCTCAATATTAATAAATCACTATAATCATCTACGGCCCTTTGCAATGGGCAACCATGAAACAGAACTAGAAGGTGACAGTAGAGCTTTATACATACGGGGCTGAGATTAAAAACTGAGAGTCGTGTTCGATGAGCCTTCAGTGTAACGAGCCTGAGGATTCTTCAATAGAGGTGTATTTACATATTATTAACGTACAGATGATGCCATATATAGGTTAAATTACAATCCAGAGTTCGTAAAGGATCGTTAACAATGCTTGACATTTGTTTGGAATTGTGAGACAGGTTTTAAAGAGGTTACAAAAATCAAGGACCATTAGCCTATCATTTTACTGTTTATTGTGAGATATGGGTCACTTTTTCACTATTTTTACTCTTATAGACCTTGTAAATATCTTTAATACACACATCTAGTGTTAGAATTTAATAATAAAAAATAATCTATTCAAATTACTACTTTGATCAAATTTTACCAAAATTTACCAATATGGGATAAAAAGAAGCTACTATCTGAATAATGTTACTAATGTATGTTTGTAAAGCTTGAGGCATCAGAAGACTATTTTATGACAATACCATGACTATTTAATTCCTGGTAGCTTCCTGAGCAACGTTAGTCTTGGTCTCCTCTTCTCCTATCACTTGTATCTCACTCCCCTACCTATGATCTCCCATACACCACAATGTGCAAACTGTGACAAAAAAATTCTTCACTTCTCACCAGCAAATATATGTATGCAAATTGGGATGCTGTATCTTATTTTTTTTTATACATATATTGGCTTATGGTCTCCCATGACTTACTGGGAAAGATGAATGTGAGTACAGTTTTTGCAAGATGTTCATGTTTGATTTCCACATGAAATTTTCTGTCATAACCAATGTGATAGCATTAAATATGTAAGTGACACCCACATTTTTCCATCAAATTTTCAGCAATGTTTTTGATAATTTTTGTCTCTGTGTATAAAATCAGTAGGAATTTTTTCATTTGTTGCTTTTTTTCGCTTATCATTTTAGAATATAAACAATTTTTTTATTTGTGGCATAAACGATCTATGATTATTTCTACTGCTTTTATAAATACAATCAAAATAATGACAAAATGCAACCAGCATGTTTTTAAATCATTTAATTATAAATTGTCCCTTTCAACCCCCTAGAAAAAATCACTAACAAACAAAAATATCCAAATTCAGTAGGAATTCCCTGGAACAAAGATGATGGACAATAATGGCTTAATAAGGACCATGTCAAATTATTACACCTTCTCACAAGGTCCAATTGAAGAGCCAACTGACCAGCAAAACAAGTGTCAAAGAGCCAGTGTTATACTCTGATCCATATTATTTAATTACTTCCTAGACTTTCTTTTTACCTGGGCCTTTTGTTTTTAGAAACTAATTATTTTCATTGGATATAATGCTAGTTATGAAAGGGTTTAGTTAATTTTCATGACTTGACGTGTGGACACGGACAGATGGATAGAAGTAGCTGCCCATGAAGGCACAGTAGTGAAAGAGCAAATGTATTAGACAATGAGTTTAGATTAAAATTGATAAAGGGCTATATATAGATTTTCTCAACCTTCCTGAGTGGTGTACATTTTTGTCTAGTCCTCATTCTTGGATCCCCTACTAGAGGCCTGGGAGTCTGAGGGTTCTGTGCAGTATTTTATCGGTTCCTAGAACTGCAGTCTTCTGGACAGCAATCCCAGCTGTCCACGTCTATTAATCTGGTGCTATGTTTTGTTACTATGATGCTAGGATTAGTGCTTCAGGGCTGTCACTCTGTCCAACCACTGATAGGATATCGCAATGTGAGCCACATCCACTATCTGCTGGAGGTACAACCCGTGGAGAGGCATGTCTTTCCATGGAACCTTCTCTTTTCCTGTATCCTATATCTGTGGTTGTCTCAGGCATTCCTTTAGCAGTCCATGTTTGGGAGCCATCTTCACGATGTACTTGTGGATGCATTGTGTTTCATCTGGGACTCTACCCTTGACACTCATCAGGCACAGATCTCCTTCCTTCCGGCTGGTGTTCAGTCTCTGAGTGTTTGATTCCAGGTGGAATTCTCAATTTGTTTCAAATATTTGGACACTGACACAATTTTCATAATTTTTCTTTGGTTCTGTATGCCACCACAATGGATTTGAAATGAAACAGCCAAGATGCAACTGAAGTGCAGAATTTCAGCTTTAATTCAAGGGGTTGAACAAAAATATTGCATGAAACGTTTATTCCATGGGGACAAATGTAATTAGACAAATTAACACAATCATACATAAAATGTCAATCTTTACTTTTTCAAGAATCCTTTTAAGGCAATGACTGCTTGAACCCTGCAATGCATAGACATGACTAAACAGCTTTGTGATGCTTTTCCAGGTCTTTGCTGCAGTTTTCTTCAGTTGTTGTTCAAGGGTTTTTCTGCCTTACGTTTTGACTTCAGCAAGTGAAATGCATGCTCGATCTGCTTGAGATTAACTTAGCCATTGCAGAATATTTAACTTCTTTGCCTTAAAAAAACATGGGTTGATTTTACAGTATGTTTTGAGTCATTGTCCATCTGTAAAGTGAAGGACCATCCAACCAACTTTGCTGAATTTGGCTGAATCTCAGCAGACAATATATCCCTACACACACTTCAAAGTTTATCAGGCTGTTTCTGTCACATCATCAATAAACACTAGTGAGCCAGTGCCATTGGAAGCCATGCATACCGATGAGATCACACTGTCTCCACCGTGTTTCACAGATTACAGTGGTATGTTTTGGATCATGAGCAGTACCAAGCCTTCTCCATACTTTTTTTTCAGTCATTCTAGTACAGTGTAAACTTAATTGTATCTGTCCAAAGTATGCTGTTCCCGAACTTGGCTTTCTTCTTTAACTGTTTTTTTTGACAAAGTCTAATCTGTCGTTTCTACTCCTCTACTAAAAGCTTATGTGGTGCACCCTCTATACTTGCTCTGATGATGCCTTCTCTTTATATATTTTAAATGATATGCATACCTCCTAGAGAGTGCTCTTCACTTGGTTCGATGTTATGAAGAGGTTTTTCTTTACCATCCTACAGCCATCCACCACTATTGTTTTCCATGGATGTCCATGCCTTTGCGTTGCAGAGCTCATCAGTGTGTTCTTTTTTTTATCAGAATGTACCAAACTGTTGATCTGGCCACTTGTAATGTTCATGCTATCTCTCTGATTGATTTTTTTTTTCAGCCTAAGGGTGGCCTGTTTCACTTAAAAGCTTCTTTGCCTGCATGTTGTGGGTTCAGAGCAACAGCTTCCAAATGTGAATGAACCCCAGACTTTTTATCTGAGTAAACTTGTCAATTGTCCAATTACGTTTGGTCCATTGAAAAACAGAGGGCTAAATATTCCTAAACCCTTCAACCATATTTTTACCCAATTTATTTTGGCAAACGGCTCATATACCAAAACTCGTCTTAGTGTCCAAATACTTTCAAACCTAAGTGTATATATATTTTTACTGCTTCTCGTATTTCTCACTTCTCACATGACTTGGAATTCTGTAATTCCGCCACCAGCCCAAATTAGTTTGAATAGCAGTTTAGTTTGAAACGAATATCTAAGTCTAATAAGTTATTTATGTAAGAAATAATGGATTGCTGTGTTTTTATCCTGCAGGTACCTGTCTCTGTCTGTACCCAAAGCTGTCTTGTTGGTTTTAGAAAGGTGTTACGGAGGGATTTGCCTGTCTGTTGTTTTGAATGTATTCTCTGTCCTCTGGGCCAGATTTCTAACAAGACAGGTAAGTGTTGTAGCGGATGGCACCAGGCGACCCTACAAAACTACTGTATAAAGCTGCATCCGTGTATCTGCTGTATTTTCTGTGTATTAAAAAGAATTGTATTCCTCTGATTGTTCGGTAGTTTCATTCCCTTAGTTTATTCGAATGAAACTACCGAACAACCAGACCTCCCCTGTGTGAAGTGTGTCCTCAATTACCCGTTGCAACATTGTTGCGAACGGGTAATTGAACAGTAAGTAGCCGTCTTTTGTTCTCGGGGGTGGCCGCCATTCGACAAACGAACACGTGGCGGCGGCCATTTTAAAACTCCCGAACAGCGGTGTTTTGCCATCGAGTGTCTGGTACTAAAATCGGACACTCGAGTAGGCGAACACCGCTGAGACCTCCACAGCCCTGGTCCGTTCGGTTCCAAACTACCGAACGGCCCCTCGTTCGGTAGATAGAGAATACCGAACGAGGGGATTCAGGTGAACTCTCCCTAGACTCTATAGCTAGAGGCTTTCGTGTATTTTATTCCCTTATGCCAGGACCGACCGCAAGGCCCATTCACATGGAACCGAATTCGGCTATCTCAGTTCGTGCGGTCGGTCATTTTATTCCCTCCATACTTTTCCCGAACCCCTGGTCTGATCTGGGTGATTTTTGGATATGTTGTTCACCCAGATCAGGGCTATCCAGGGGATGTAGGATTTAAAGAGGTACCCCTACGTTTAGGGGTACATCCAGAAATGGGGGGAATTGGTGTGCTGGATAAGGGGATTATGATGCTGGCTGAGGGGAGGAGATGTGTGGGAGGTTACCAGGACAGGATTGGCTACTGTAATAATTACTGTAAGTCCCTCCCTTGCATGGGAGCATGCTTTATAAGGAGACTGTGATTAAAGGCTTGTCAGTTATGCTCCTGAAACTGTGTGTCGTCCAGTTATTGGGATTGCTGTTGGGATATTGCTGTATTTTACCTGCTGGAAACCCGGCCTTTGGAATTACTATTTACTTGTTCCTGAGTCTCACTTGGATTATAAGCGGAGATAACCTGGGTAATATTGCATCTCCGCTACAAGTGTATTCAAGGGAACATTATTAATTCAGTTTATGGAGTGACAACATTTTTGAAATACTGACTATCATCATGCCTTGTTATTTAGGTACAAATTAAAAAAATTAAATAAATTGACATGCTTGCCGCAATGTATTTGGGTTCCGTGGAGTAGTGGTGGGCTTAGCATAATATGGTGGAACTGAATCCTAATATATGTTTTCCTGAGATAGGTGATGTAAGGAAACCTGGTATATACAATACCCATTCGGTAGTTTCTTCCTGAACGGCCAGAGTAGTAGTGAATTATAACTCTCCGTTCGACGAAATAAAATAAGTAATTCCCATGCGAACAACAGCTTCCCAAGTAGATTCCCTTAGTAATGCAGACAGGTACCCAAACATCAGCCGAAGTCTAGATGAAGACATTGGCGTACTTACCACGGTCGCAGGGGTCGCAATTGCGACCGGGCCTGGCCCACCAGAGGGCCCAGCCGCCCTGCGACCCAGTATGTACGCCAGTTTGCCAGCCTATTCTCCTGGGGGGCCCAGGAGCTGGCCACCTTTAGGGCCCCCCCAAGGCTGGAAATGGTGTCACTGGATGCGCAAGGGAGCATTCTCTCCCTTGCGCGCACCGCACTGATGCCGGAGCAAGAATATGATGTCGTTCTGGCTCCGGCATCAGTAAGTCGCGTGCGAGGGAGCTGAACAGGAGGCTCAGTGCTCCTTTGCCACCTGCAGGATCGGCCGGTGGGCAGCCCCACTGGACCCTAGGGAATACCCTCAGTACTCCCAAAGGTAGGGAGGCTGGTGGATTACATTTAAAAAAAAACATGTGTATGTGTGTTAGTGTTAGAGAGTGTGTGTGTGTGTGTGTTAGTTTTTGTGTGTCACTCTGTGTGTCTGCTAGTGAGTGTCAGTGAGTGTTTTAATTGTGTGTGTGTGTGTTACTGTGTGTGTTAGTTTGTGTGTGTCTGTTATTGAGTGTGTGTCTGCTAGTGAGTGTCAGGGTGTGTTAGTCAGTGTGTTACTGTGTGTGTCTGTTAGTGTGTGTGTGTGTCTGTTAGTGAGTCTGTTGATGAATGTGTGTTTGTCAGTGAGAGTGTATGTTTTGTAAGTGAGTGTGTATTTGTGTCTGTCTGTCAGTGAGTGTGTATGTATGTCTGTCACTGAGTGTGTCTCTGTCAGTAAATGTGTGTGTCTGTTAGCTAGTGTGTATGCATTGGTTCGTGAGAGTGTGTGTGTTTAAAACTCCTTCAAAACTTACCTTTCTCCAGCACCGGATTCCCTTGGCGCTGGGGATACCTCCGCCCCGATCCGCCTCTCAGCTTCGAATGTGCATGCGCGGCAAGAGCCACGCGCGGATTTCAAACCGTCCATAGGAAAGCATTACTCAATGCTTTCCTATGGACGTCCAGCGTCTTCTCACTGTGATTTTCACAATGAGAATCGCGGAAGCGCCTCTAGCGGCTGTCATTGAGACAGCCACTAGAGGCTAGATTAACCCTCAGTGAAACATAGCAGTTTCTCTGAAACTGCAAGTTTTCTGCTGCAAGGTTAAAACTAGAGGAACCTGGCACCCAGACCACTTCATTGAGCTGAAGTGATCTGGGTATCTATAGTGGTCCTTTACGTGTATGTGTATCTGCATGCACTGGCGTACATCCCGCGGTCGCAGGGGTAGCAGCCCTGTGACCAGTTGCCTGCCGCAATGTGTTGCGGCCCTGGCCCATGCTGAGTAAGCGTGGAGGGGTGCCCATGGATCAATTTTCGCACCGGGGCCCCATGGGTCGTGTGTACGCCACAGGATGAAGGGTATAACAGAACTGAAGTTTAATGATGCCACACTGGCTTTTATGCAAGACCTCCTAGACCTGGAGATAATTAAGGCTGATAAAGTAATAACTTCATTATCTCCAGGCAGAAAAATCACAATTTTCCCCAACTTTTAGAACACCCCTTAAAACATAAGGTATCCCCACAAAAGTCATATCCCCTAATAGCCCTGATCTGGGTGACCAACATATTCAAAAATCACCCGAATTTCATGGATGTCTTATTGACCAGTTACCCACGAGGCTCCGGACAGTTCCACAAGTTTTAGTGGTTTTGCCGGACTTATTCAAAAAGTCTTAAAAAGTGAATAAATCCACGAACAGTTCCCTCTGGCTCCTAGCAGCGATTGTTCCCCTCATTCGAATGCACAAAAGTACCGAACAGCGCTCTTATTGCTGTTTGGGAAATGAAGATCCAGCGTTCGTGTGTGTTGGAACGGTGTTCGGGAAGTCGAGTGTCCGATTTTAGTTCCAGACACTCGACGACCAAGTCCTGCTGCCTTTGTTCGCACAAACAAGATGGCCGCTCTTTTCTCAGCCACGTGGCGTTCGACAATATGAACGGTGGCCGCACAGGGAGAGGACTTAATTGAGGTACGCTTTGAAGTTAACGAGCCAGGGTGGTGGTCTCTGTTCGGTAGTTAAAGCTACCGATCGAAGGGAAATAAAATAAACGAAATAACTTAGTGATTTCTTCACAGGTGAGTTTAAGTAGCCTTAAGGTAAGATTGTATTTTAATGTGTGAGTTGTTCTTTCATCTGTGTATTGTACAAAGGTTGGTCTTTACAACAGCAGCATTGATGAGAAATGCATGTTCTGTGTGTGACCCCAATTCCCCTTTTCTCTTTACTATATAACTTTGGTGTCCAGACCAGATTCTCTTTAGAATGAGCAACCTGCCCCAATCCCCCCCCCCCCAGCTTCAGATGCCCCTTTGGAGGTGACCACAGGAAAGTATGAATTTCAGGTGGTTTTGAAAAATGATGTCACTTTAATTATAATTTTCATTTGGGTTAGAGCAGAAATATAAAAAAAGTAAAAAGGTAAACAGTAAAAAGTCATAATAATAAATAATAAAGTGGGCTGCTACATACGTATGTAAGACCGAAAATTTCCATGAAATACTCAGGACTAGTATGTGCACTCCTTATTAATATTGCTCATATATAAAAATGACCAATTACAAGCAATGTCTCTCAAAAGACATATATTTAATAAAGAATAATTAAAAACAGTGATTTGAACACTATACAGACTGAATGACCAGTATTAAAATGCACCCTAAATACACTGGATAATATAGACAATAATGTGGTACTCAAAGCTGGAAATCACTGACAAAATTATAAAAATGAGACAGAAACCACTGACAGTGCACCTCACGCTAGGAAATTGTAACAGTATCACAAAAAAGAAGCAGCTTGTTGCAACCTAGCGTGTGGGTGCGCTGTATCTGTTTGTGTCAATATCAAAATAATAAAATAAATGCAAAAACAGTATAAGTATGTATAATTAGCCACATATACCAGCGACTTAGAACACAACCCTATTGAAACTCTGTGAACAGTGTGAAGAGTGCCTTAACCTTGGTGTGGGCCCCCACCTGAGGTGAAACCCCCCCCTTTTGACGCAGCAGGAGATAGGACAGAGAAAAATAAAAATAGGACTGCCGATGAAAATGCTGACCGTTACTGAGCACTCAGCTCAGCCATGGAGGATAGACAGACCACTGGCAGCTGTGTGAAGTTGCAGGAACATGGAGAAGGTGCTGGCTGATGGAATCCTGGTTCAGTATACACCGTGGTCGGAATCTTCAAAAAAGACCATGGTGTGGAATACCTCAGTCTCTCTGTAGATGATGAGAACACTGGAGACAGCTTATACGTGACATTGAGCAGAAATATGATATGCATTGTGCGTACAGGGTGGCCCGTAAGTCCCTACACAGCCATATATCTTATGTATCCAGTGTATCTGTGCGCTGAATGGGTAGGGAGTTATGGGCCACCCTGTATATACATCAAAGTACTATCACATTCATTGTTTAGTTTTGACACTGCATTTTTTGGAATTGTGTTTATCACAATCATCTTGCATTTTATATATATCCACAATGCAATTGGCAACAGATTATTTAAATACACTTTATCTCATTTAGCACTAGAGCTATTTACTTTGTCTCCCACCTTGGAATTAAATTAGGACCCACTGATAACAAGGTACTGTGGAGTAGTGGTGGATTTAAAATAATATGGCCAGATGGTGGAACTGAATCTCCCTGTTTGTTTGCTGACATTTGTGATTTTAAGTAGCTTTAGAAAATGTAAAACTATATTTCTATGTGTGTGCTGTTCCTTATTGTTTATTTTGTACAAATTTTGGACTCTACGACACTATTAATAAAAAAAAGTTGTTCCCCCCCCCCTTCTTACCTTTATCCTGGGAGGAGGGGGCGAGGAGATCCGTTCTGCCATCCTTCCCTAGTGGTCCAGTGGTGAGAGTGAACTCTAACCTGCAGGTTAGAGTTCACTCTCGCGAGATCTGAACCGCGGCAACGCTCAGAATCCCGTGAGAGGACCCGGCGAAGCTGCTGGTTAGAGCTCCGCCGGTCCTCTCCTGCCTCCCCAGCCTGCGGCCGCATCTCCATGCCTCTGGGCTGGTGATGGAGATCTTTGATCTCCCCACCGGCCCACGGAGGCACATAGCAAGGTCGGCGCTCGGATAGCGCTGGCCCTGCAGGCCTCGGCCCCACGGCCATTGCGGCCCACCAGGCTTTTGCCCGGTATGCCCAATGGCCAGTCCGGGCCTGATTAGGTCATTTTATTAATTAAAATCTGCGGGACCTGCCTGACAACCCAGGCCGAAAGTCCAGGGAATTTAATTTGCTAGCACTATATTTAACCCTGTATCTTATATATATATATCTATATAATTGTTGTGATACGTTTTATTGTTTCGGAACACTAATATTTGTGTTCAGCGAAATCTCCCAAGAGACACCCCTCCCTGTCACAGGTGCCTCACCCCAGGGCCCTATTTAGCCTTGTACTGCAGAGAGCCCCAGATGGAATTTGTTCCCCAAGTAAGTGGGTTAATCTCATAAGAGCAGACATTAGGCTGTTAAAGAAGGACCTGCCAAAGATGGGGTACATTGATGTTGTGGCAGGCTTATGCAATGTTTGATCATATAATGTAATTAAACCCCCATTATTTGTTGCCTAGATTAGGTGTTTTTTAAAAAAAAAAAAGAAACTAATAAAATCTGTCAACATTGAAGTTGCTGTTTAGTAGATAATTGAGTGTGCTGTCCATTGTATATATACATATATATATACTGTCCATTGTATACATTTACATAAAAAGCCTGAAAGTATGATCTAAACACAGTTTGCAGAAGAGATAGCACATTATTCTCAAAAACAATGTAAATATTGCAACACACATTTATTTTCCAAGGCTTAGTTTTCTGGTATGTTGAGCTGCCCTTAGCAGCCCTTACTTAAGAATTATGCATCTGCTATAAAAGCTTCATTTTTTATTAACTTGTTAACTTGTTAAATAATGTATAACTTTTCTTTCAGAAATAAAAATTGCTAATTAAAAAAACCTAGAAATGTATAAATCAAATATTCTCAACAGATGGCAATTTAAAGGTTTTTTTCTCTATATGTTTACTTTTAGACTCACTTGACTGCTTCAAGTGTCCATGGGATGAGTGGCCAAGTCCCCAGAAAGACAGATGTCTCCCAAAGAACAGAGAATTTCTATCCTTTAGAGAACCTTTAGGTGCTGCTCTAGTTGCTACAGGTGTTCTCTCGTCCTTGCTGCCAATTTCCATTTTTGGACTTTTCATATGTTACAAGAACACCCCAATTGTTAAAGCAAATAACTTCTCTCTGAGTTGTCTTCTTCTAATGTCGATGTCCCTCTGTTTCCTCAGCTCCTTAGCTTTTATAGGTTACCCTCAGCCTGAGAAATGTCTTTTACGACAAGTTGCATTTGGCACAGTCTTTACCCTTTGTATCTCTTGTATTTTAGCCAAAACCTTCATGGTGGTTTTTGCCTTTATGGCCACAAAACCTGGAAGCAGTTTAAAGAAATGGGCCAGACCTAGAGTTTCCTACATAATAATAGCTTTATCCAGCTTACTACAAATAATTTTGTGCATCTTGTGGATTTCATTTGCCCCTCCTTTCCTAGCAGAAAACACTCAAACCCAACCAGGAATTATCATTGTTGAATGTAATGAAGGTTCACCCACAGCCTTCTGGTCCATGTTGGGATACCTTAGTTTCCTGGCCACCATCAGTTTCATTGTTGCCTTCTTGGCCAGAAGACTTCCTGACAGTTTCAATGAAGCCAAGTTCATCACCTTCAGCATGCTGGCCTTCCTCAGTGTATGGGTGTCCTATATCCCGGCTTCTCTTAGTTCCACTGGGAAGTACTCAGTGGCCATGGAGGTCTTTGCCATTCTATCTTCAAGCTGGGCCCTGCTGATTTGCATGTTTGTCCCAAAATGTTTTATTATATTGTTCCGATCTGACATGAACTCAAAGCAACATCTCATGGGAAAACTTAAAATATAATAACTCAAAAAGCAGAATCTGGTAATATTCGGTCAGGATTATAATAAAGACTCCACAATTCTTAATGTAAGTCACCATGAGAAGAGTTGATTGATTACTATATAAAATATTTTTTGTGTTTGACTTATTGTACAGGAGAGACTATGAACGTGTTAAAGGAACACTCCAAGTTCCATCAGCACTACCATGCACCATATTGACTTTCACCTATTTTGACCCAAAACCCTTGTCTCAGTTTTATTTCATTATTGGTGGTGTATATGAAAGTATAACAGAGCTCCTCAGCAACAATACTGAATTGTGTCTTTAAACTATAAAAAAATGTGTTTAAAAATCTGTCTTTATAAACAAGATACCCTGACCATGCTAAACTACATTTTAGATTGGAAGGAAGCCTATGCTGACTTCATTATGTTACGTAGCTCATACTTTAAACAAACATAAAAACAATGCATAATAACAATCATAGTAGAAAATATAAATACAAAATTTCATAACTTGGGAAAGTTATTCCAGTGCATTTAGTTCATTTTCAGATTTTAACTTTATGTTGTGATCTGTCACCAAGTTTTACTACAAATCAGGACAAAAATAAAACAAATTTCTGCTTATTTTTTGTTTAATAATGAATAAACATGTGAAGTTACAGTATAGCTCAGTGTTGGAATGTCTCAATGGTAATCACCAGACTTCTACTGCCATGGGCTTACAGTTCTATCCAGATCTGTACCATGCCCCGAGATCTCAGGGGCAATTACTAATGTAGACCACATACAAATTTTTTGTAACACCGGTGCTTTGTGAATATTTGAAATCCTAAACTTTGTATAGGGTTTGGAGGCAAAAATCACAGATTTATAACAAACACTAAATGTATCGGGTGATTGTTTGGCTTTAGTTAATGTGAGAATTGTCATTCTGGTTGAACTTCAGGCAGTCATTGTTGAATAGCCCTGGGAATGTAGTACAGAATTCACATCAGGTTCCACAAAACATAAATCTGCTGCAAAAGTAACACAAATATAATTTATTACAAAGCTAAATTGTATATTTATTAACTTTAGAAGCTGTTATACTTAGTTACTAGCTGTCCATCATTCCAGGGCTGCAATTCTCTGACTAATGCCAGACCCCACAATGCCATTATTTGTCATTCCACTGGTTTTTCAACCCCAAACTAGCTCACCTCCAGCATTTTTCAATCAAGACCTATGGGGATATTTAATACATTCCGAATGACCCCGTACCGAATGGGACAAAACCATTTAGCTGCATACAAGGCCATTCAGAAATTGTTTATGCTATTTAACATTCAGGGCTGTCTTAATGAATGGAGATGAGGGACAGTTGTCCAGGAGCCACACAAGCATAGGAGCCACATAGGCTTGACAACTTTTCAGCATATTATTCTGGGAGATTTATTCAGAACCTTCAAACCCTCTGTAGTGGAGCCCTAGTCTTAGCAGGGACTCTCCTCGGCTAGTTACTCCAAAATATACTCTGGAACAAGTATAACACCCCAATGGAACAGCCAAACATCGTAAAATAATCCAGTAATCTCTCACCTAATCCCCAGCAACTAGACGACACTCAGCTCTGGGGGTATAACTGGTTTTAATGGAGCCACACACAGCCTTTTATGTGAATCCACATGCAAGGGGTTTACTGATACATATACATTAATCCTGTGACTTGGCTATTGGTTTTTGCTTCCCTGATTTTTGGTTTCCCTGACTCGGCTTGTCCCTGACTATTCTATATCTAACAATGTTTAAGCCTGGCAAATCTGAGGACCGGTATACATTGTCATATCTATTATCATATACTAACTGCTTTTTGGGTCACTAGGTATTATGACATTACAACAGGGCCAATGGACCCTGCAGGTGCAAGCCCTCAAGGGGCATCATATGATAATAGATTTAAGGAAGTGGACCATTGTATGGACCAAATTGCCCTTGACTTGCATGTCTATCAACTTGCCAATGGAACACGTCCATCAACTTTGACATGTCCATCAACTTTGCCAATGGAACGTAAAATCCTCCAGCTCCTTATGGTGCCACTGTGCACGTGACTTCACCTTTACACTACTTTGGAGTGACTGATGCTTGTTGCAGTTTTTTAAAACCAAATAAGCATTCTATTTGAGTTACAAACTAGAGCTTATCCCACAGGTTTCAACATTACCTTATTAGTCAATAAGGAATGGACTTGGGCTAATCCCTTGTGGGAGAATGATAACCCAGTTGAAAACTATACCACCTTTATTGAGGCCTTTAGGAGGACATTTAAATCTTCAGGTAGTAAAGCTAATGCTGCCAGAACTCTTCTGCGACTTAGACAATGTAACTGTTCTTTGGTTGAAAAAAACACAATACATGTGGGATTCAGCTGGTATATCTAAAAAAAACAATTAATAAAAAAGAACATAGCATAATATAGTTTGTGGAAATATAATATTCCCGGCTAAAGGTTGCACTCACAAGAATTAGAAGTAATATGCGCTCTAATGGTGCCTCCCCCGATGTCTTGGGGGCTAGTATCTCCCTCTTAGGATAAGGTATCACACAGTATCAGGAACCATGCAGGACTCCAACAGGTAGATAAGTTGAAAAGAGGTTTATTGATAATATATAAAAAGCAATAAAAAGATAATCTGGTCTTATGCGTTTCGTCCCACTTCTGGAACTTCCTCAGAGACCAATATTCTATAAAACAGTTATGACAATAATGCTCCCAAAAAAAGCAATCTAATTCCACCCTCCCATCAGTCCCATTAAATAGGGCTAATCCCTTCAGTTAATTGGTGGTTCCAGGGGGTGCCTTCTCTTTCATCCATCCTATTGGTGGTTCTCGGATCATTTTCACCTGTTTCTTGATCGAGGATAGTTGATATTATAATCACAGCTGATCGGCATTCTGAGATCGGCGAAACTGGAAGTGACGTATCAAACATACTTCCATGCATTCCAACTTGGGTCCAGCCGTGCGTTCCACTGTAGATTCAGGATGTGGATTGTTTTCCCCCTGGTGTTCTCCAAGGGGATCAGTTATCACAGTTAAAAACTAAACTCTGATCGATTAGAGAGTTATATCTAAATAGAAAGGCATCATTAGAACACTTGTTTGATTTAAACGAAACACATAAGATATATAGTCTCTAAAAGACTATATAGCTAGTATTGCAATATGTAAGCTATACTTCTTTGTTTTGCATCCTTCATATTTTTGTTAAACAAACCATATACACAGGTTTTAATTCTAGATATTCTCATTATGCTAGCTTATCTTTACATTTCACTTACATGATTCATTGGATTTTTGACATTTTGATATATTTTGATATATTGTGTTATAAGTAAACAGATGTGTCACTTACCTCTCCTTCTGCGAAAGGAACGTTATATTGGCTTGTCGCCTCCCATGCATTGTCATGTCCCTACCCTTCCCCCTTCTTTGTTCTGTACCCATTTTTACCTCTTACTTTTTGAAAATTAAAAATTGGAAATTTTTAAAAAAACACCATAAAACCTGTACATGGGGGTACTGTTATTCTCGGGAGACTTCACTAAACACGAATATTAGTGTTTTAAAACAGTAAAACATATTACAACAATAATATAGTCCATAAAAGTGCAGTTCGTTTGTAAAAAATGCAAAAAACTTAACTTTTACTTAAAATATAATCGTTGTAATACAATTTACCAGTTTGAAACACTAATATTTGAGTTCAGCGAAGTCTCCCGAGTAAAACAGTACCCTCTATGTACAGGTTTTATGGTGTCTTGGAGAATGACAGGGTCAAATATAGTGCTTGCAAATTAAATTCTCTACACTTTCTCCCTGTGTTGTCAGGCATGTCAATCAAATTTTAATTAATCAAATCACATAATTATGTTAAAAGATTACTTAAATATACATGTAGAATTTTAATATATATGCATTTATAGGTATTTAAATTCTACGTGTATACTAATGTAATCTTTTATGTAATTATATGCATTTATATATCTATATATATATTTGCGGTTATTTGTATTTCATATATAGATAGATAGATATAGAATGTCATTCTAAGTGTATTTTGTTACCAATATATATATATTAATAACAAAATAAAGTTAGAATGAAATTACATATGAATATATAATTTATATTAAATTTTGTTTCAATATTTTATTTATTGATTTTATTATTTTATTTATTTATTATTGTAATTATACGTGTATATATATATAATATATGTATAATATATATATCTATTATATATATAATATATATACATATTATATATATGTAACGTCATTCTAAGTGTATTTTAATACCAATATATGTACTTATTTTAGTATTAAAATACACTTTGTATGACGTTACATATATATTATATATATAAATACATTTCTATTTTATTTTAAAACATGTTTAATAATTTTTTTTTTTACTTTCGCACCAGCAGGGGGACTGTCTGACATTTCAGACAGTCCCCCTTCTGGCAGATGCACAGCCATCTATAGGGGGCCATATGATCACTCTTTGAGAGCGATCACATGGCTCCCGTGGGCCTGATTTGCTGGGGGAGGGCTGCCTGGGATGTCAGGCAGTCCTCCCGAAGAGGATCGCGGTGGAGGTAAGTAGTGATGTCGCGAACCCGAAATTTTCGGTTCGCGAACATCGAACGCGAACTTCCGCAAATGTTCGCGAACCGGCGAACCGGGCAAACCGGGCGAACCGCCATAGACTTCAATGGGCTGACGAATTTTAAAACACACAGGGACTCTTTCTGGACACAATAGGGATGGAAAAGTTGTTTCAAGGGGACTAACACCTGGACTGTGGCATCCTGGAGGGGGATCCATGGCAAAACTCCCATGGAAAATTACACAGTTGATGCAGAGTCTGGTTTTAATCCATAAAGGGCAGAAATCACCTAACATTCCTAAATCACAATGAATATGGATTGACACCTGACATATGACATATTGACACCTTGACATATG